AGAGTCTCTGTCCTGTCTGTATCATGTCAGTCTGAAAATTAAAAATTTAAACAAACTTATAAATACAACTGAGAAAACTGAACACAAATACCCCTAAAAAGAAAATCATATTTTGCAGATTACAAGCTGCGGAGGTCATGTGTTGCTCAGAAGTGACACTGAGGATGAAGAATTGAATGGATTTATTGATTTGGAGTGAGATGGAGAGTTTGGTAAACTTGTTCTGTTCTGTTGTTTATGTTATATTTATCTGAAGAACTGTTCATATGTGACATTAACAGTCTGTTGTTCTCTCTTCTATTGTTATTACTACAACTTGACTTTCAACAGGAAATGTCGGTTCCTGGTCTCTGATTTTATAAAATTAATTTCCCCCAACAAGTGCAACATATATCAGTCGCACCGGACTATATGTTTTTTCTTCTTCATTATGCATTTTTGGCTGGTGTGACTTATACTTTGGAGTGACTTATAGTCTGAAAAATACAGTACTCAAACATCCATGAATCAAATAGAACTTCAGGGGGTAAATGAGAAGGAAATGTAAGGACCAGATGACTCTGTGTCATGAAGCCAAGAGGCTGAAAGGTTTTTTGTTTTTTTTAAATGTATATAGAGCTTTTCACAGACATGTCACAAAGACGCTTTTGTAGCCCATATTTGATAATTGAGTGCTTTTAATAAAATATGCTTAAAGCCCAAATCAGTATTTTGTTAGTAGTTCCAGACTGCTACATGATTCTGTTGTGAACAGACTAATTGTCAGCGTTTAAAGAGTTAACTTTTCCAAGTGATTGACATTTAGCTCTGGTCCAATGACCTGTCCTTATCTGCGCACTTGTCCCACCCCATGGCCCCACACGCAGCCACCAGTCACCAGGTCTCTTTCTCCTTTTTTCCAATCCGAGCACATGAGAAAACTGCAGTTGAAAAAAACCAAATACAGGTACAAACTTAACGCACAATGTTAATTTAAACGATCAATTGTTGAAGTTAGATGTTATATCTCGCATATTTATTTGAAAGAAACGATATATTAAGGTAGGAATTCATTATTTTTACCCTTTGCACTTTTGGTTTTAGACGAGAGAGAGGCTAGGAGGAAGCGCCATTTTGAACTCCAGCCTTTTCACTACTGTGAGATCGGTCAGGTTCTGTCGTTGATGGCGAGCCACCCCCTTGGATAAACTGGTTGAATCGATCATCTACTGCACGGTGCAGTGTGGTAGGCCCCACAGCAACATACCCTTCCACGCCTTGTCATTTGCTGCTCCTTCCTTGCACACATTCCCCTGGAACACTGGACGTTAAACTTACCTGAAATTCATAAGGACTTTTGCGGACTGTACACATATCTACAAGCAGGAAGTGAACTTGGGGTGGGGTAGAGTCATTCTTCCACAAAAGGGTTTGTTGTTTGATTTGTTTGATGAATGTAATGTCCATCGAACTTGAATTGTACCAGATATTTTTGTTGAACTTAAATTGAATGTGAATTTGAAAGGGTGCACCCAGGTAAGAACTGTTGACTACTGTGACTGTAAAGAAAGTTGTCAATGAGAAGTGTTGGTACCAAAAGAGATAATCCTGTTTACAATTTATTTTATTTTCTACTTTAATACAAGCCGGCATTTAAAACTTTTAAGCCTTTGTCTGAGTCTCATTCACATCACTGCTCCTGTAAGTAGTCGAGTCTTCTGGTCCAAATTATTTAAAGTACAGTTGGAGTGGAATTTGGGGTTAAATTTATATTCCGACTGTAACAAGAGGGTTACACTTTACAGAGCATTATTCATTCACTCCAGACCCGGTGGTGGTAAGCTACTATTGTAGCCAGAGCTGCCCTGGGGCAAGCTGATGGACGTGTGGCAGCCATCGGTTCCTCCGACCACCACCATCACTCACACACACACACCGCATTCATACTAGGCACTGTGGGTGAAGTGTCTTGCCTAAGGACACAACAACATTTTTTTTTTTTTGTGACTGGCGCCCCCCTGTGGCTCCTGACTTTTCCAGTGTCTCCATCCAAGTACTAACCAGGCCCAACCCTGCTGAGCTTCTGAGATCTGACAGGACCACGCTTTGACAAGTCAGTATGGCCACATGGCCATATTTAACTATGTCCTTTTATACAGTCTATGGTACCACCAGATCTAAACCAGGTCTAGAACAGCACTATTCCAGGTCTAATCTAGGACTGCATCATTGTCTGCTCTCTGTCTCTCCTAGAACTACACAGAGGAGCTCGCAGACCAGTTTGAGAAACACTGAACTACATAACTAACTCTTGACTAAAATAAAACAGTTGGAAGTGTTGGTAAGTTTCCCTCTCCCAGACGCTCTCCGCTCTGCAGAGACACAGAGGAGCAGCAGCCATGCTGTTGTGCTAATTATCTTGTATTGTCCCAAAGCGCTGCTGCCGTCTCTCCCCTCTTAACCTGTCGCTCTCTCGCCTCCTTTCCACCAGACGCCCACCCGATGGCGCTAATTACACCGTTTAGCTTAGCGGGGTCAAGGGTCGCCGCTCGCACATCGCCATGGAAACCTGTCAACATCTTAGGTACAAACACTGAACAGGAGCAGACACATGTGAACTTAAAACTGCACATGGACAGGAGAGTTTGATGGATTACAAACTGTATGTCTCTTTAGAAGCAGTAGTTTAGTAATAGTAGTAGTAGTTTATTTGATCATTTTGCAGCACTACAAAACAAAACAAAACACAGACTACAACCCTATGGACTTAAAGTGAACCTTACCTTTCCCAGGCATTTACACTTGAACTGTTGTTTTAAAATATTCTAAATATTTTCTAGTGTGGGAGTTCACTTTTCTAACTTCTAAGGTTTATGTCTACTGTGGGTGAAAGTTATTGGTCCAAACGCCAAAGTCTGCTGTCGTCCCTGAGCAAGACACTTCACCTATCTAGAGCTCAACCTAGGATATTTAGAGGATTACAAGTAGATCCTAAAACAAGAGGTACAAAGCAGAGTGCCTTGGTCATTGCTTCCTTAAAGTCTGTTGCGATGATGACTGTTCTATAACATAAACCATAACATCAGGAGAATGTGGAGGTTGTCATCATATCTACTGGTAAAATTACAGAGAAGAGAGAGAGAAAAAAAAAAAAGAAAAATCTTGGAAACCACTTATCTAGAGCGTTTGACTGGTGACTGGTGATGGCAGCCACACATGCGCAGTTTGCCCCAGGGCAGGTGTAGCACACACCCTGCAGCCTGAGTCAGGTCTTTCCAGTTCCACTCGTGGTTCATCAGCACATGTAGAGCAGCTCTCCTCTTTATCCTTCTTCTTTTTCCCTGCTCTCTTTTCCTCATCTGCCTGCCTGCTCGCTCTTAACCACCTCTCCCTCTCTCTGTCTCTCCCTCTCTCTGTCTCTCCCTCTGTCTGCCTCACCCTCTCCCTCTCTCTATCTACCTCACCCTCTCCCTCTCTCTATCTGCCTCACCCTCTCCCTCTCTCTATCTGCCTCACCCTCTCCCTCTCTCTATCTGCCTCACCCTCTCCCTCTCTCTATCTACCTCACCCTCTCCCTCTCTCTATCTGCCTCACCCTCTCCCTCTCTCTATCTGCCTCCTCCACTCCCTTTCTCACCCTCTCTTTGCCTCACCCTCTCTCCCCGTCCCTCTCTCCTCTCTAATTACCTTCTCTTCTCCTCCTCTGTTCTTATCCTGTTTTAATTACGCTCTTTTGATACTTGGCTCGGCAGATAAGAGTCGGGCTCGATACACAGACCTGGGCTAATCGCCGTGTTGTTGTTTTTTTTCATTAAGATCGATACGAAGCAGAAGGAGCAAAACGGGCGCTCAGCATAAATCCAACATGACTTTAACATGATTACACAGGACGCAGGTGAGGGAGCCGTGCAAAATGAACTAACAAAAAACAACAAAATATAACATGCAAATAAAGATGGTATATACAAAGGCCTGAACAATTTGTGGAAAGTATCTGACTGTGATTTTTCTGACAAACATTGTGATTATGGTTAAATTTGCGTTTTATGTTTTAATCATGTGCTCGAGTGGAGGAAGGCCACGATCTGTCCCTTCAGACGTTCAGCTCCTCAGCTCTGACCCCTCCCCTCTGCAGAACTGGAACATCTCAGCACTTTAACAAGAGCTCTGTTGTATGCACGTTATGGATGATTTGATGTATACCTTTATTGAGTAACTCTGCTACTCTCCGTTACCTTTTAATTCTCCCTCGAGGATAAATAAAGAGATTAAATAAAAAAAAATAGGATTCTGTTCAAGTTGAGATTTTAAACACATCCAGACAAACTGACAGTTCAGAACATGTTTGTACAGATCTAAACTACAGGGTTAGCAGTTTTTATGCAGAAGAAGACAGGGAATTTTGTAATTTCTGGAGGAAATTGCACCACACTCTTATTCATCACAGGTAAAAGAAGTTATATATTTTGTTCTAAATGTACTTAATGAGAATTTTCAAGAAGAGTGGCTATGCAGACTTACTAACTTAGATTAGAGAGGAAAATGAAGGCACTTAAAAAATTCCAGTCTTCGTGATTTGCCAGTTCCACCTATTCAAATTACGATTTCAGAGTGATTTTGTTCAATCTTGCAACCCTAATATATATATTTTTACAATTTGAAAAGGCTGCAAAAGACTGATTAAAAATAAAACTTGCATTAAGATGGTGGTTTTGAAAATAAGAAAAATGTGATTTGCAAATCTTGCATGAATATACTATGATTCCTTAATAAAAAATATTAAAAGAATACATAAATAAAACTTGCAGTGAATATATTCAAGTAAGGGTATGTGATATTGTATCTCTGCACTTTTCTGGTTAATTTAAGAGGAATTTCATACTTGTACCATAGAAGAAGAAAAAAAAGTTCATAATTTCAGTTTGATCACAATTCACACTTTGATTGCATATTCTTAATCTCCTGTTGTTCCTGTTGCAACACTGGAATTTCCCCATATAAGCCAAACAGAGGTCCTCTTACCCACTCCTCTGTGCGCGTCCAGGCTGGTGTACTCTATGGTCCCGTCATGGCCTTTTTTAGGGTTCTCTTTGTACTCTTTGTGTACTCCATCTGGGCAGTATCTGTAACACAGGCCGTAGTCTGCCAGGTAAACCTGCACAACACAACAGTCACCGGAATTAAGAGAAGAAAAATCATGAAAAAGATTTAAAGAATTGTCACCTATGACTTATGTCTTATTATACTGATTATGTTGTAATTTATAGAATAGTGTTTTACCAAGATTTGGACTCATGTCTCTCTTGTGTCGTGTGAGCCTGAGGGGGCAGGTCAAACGTCTCTAGTTAACCTGCAGATGTTGTGGTGTGGTTGGATAAATACAGCAGCAAGAGTGGAAAATATCGAAATACATTTACTCACATTATTGTAACTGAGTACTTTTGATCATTTATAAGTACATCAGTAATTTGTCTTTTTTTTTTAAGTAGTATTTGAAATAGTGTGGGGAAGCTGGCCAAAAATGGTCAAAGTAGGAGGCAGATGACACAAAAAAAAGGTGTCTTTACGCAGACAAAATTTATTTTAAAAAACAGACTTCTGGGTTTAACCAACAAAAGTACAAATAGACAAAAAATAAGTAACTCAAAGCAAACCACCAAATACCTGCACAGAAGTCTCTCTAATTGATGACACCTGCTTGCCTTTTATACTCCGCCCAGCAGGAAGTACCTCCTCCAGGTGAGTAACAATTCCAGGTAAAGCAAAGCAAAAGGTGTCTTTCCAAAATCAAAATGTTTAACATAAACTAAGGTGAATTTAAAATAAGACAAAGGCCCACTTTGTCACAAATAGGGAATTTTACTTTTACTCAAGTATGTTTTGACCCAAGTATTTTACTTCATTACATTGGGACCCACCCTCATTATTGAGAAAAAAAACCAAAAAACAATTTGCCGAAAATGAAAGAAAAGACTTGCATGTGCTGCATTTTCACTATAAAATGTTCAGTCACTGTAAAGAAGCGTCAGTCTGTCTTGAATCAGTTTGGATGATGCTACTGTTGAGCCAAGGATCGAGGTCGTCGTGAACGATATTCAAGAAGAAGGTGCACTGAATAATTCTCGAGAGGAAAGAGAGGGAAACCCTTGGCCAAACCTCAGACAGCTTTTTGCGTTCAAATGCAAATTAGGGAATAACATAAGAATGCAAAGCAAAATGGGCCTGTCCCGCTGGACACAGCTGTCAGTGTTCAAAAATGTTGTTGTTGTTGTTAATTTGTTTAATTTGTTATGCAGTTAAAGTTCTATTGTCTTTAAAATGTATAAAGTTTGTACTGAACAAAGTTTGTTTGTATCACCTGAAAGTTGATTAAAACAATTTTGATGTAAAAAAGGATGAGTCATAAATCTAACCCAGCACAAATTGTTTTAAAGTAGCTAAGTAACTTTTACTCAAATTACATTTTAAATGAAGCACTTTTTTTTTTTTACTTTTACTCGAGTAGATTTTTAGATGGTTACTTTTAATTTAGTAGGAATTAAGCAAAGTAATTAAACAAAGTTTTACTTAACTACAATTTTTCAGTACTTTTTGCACCTCTGGATAGCAGGAGGACAGATGTTGTCACAATAAAAATAGATAAAGGCACTTGTGACTAGTATTGAAACTAGATACTAATTTGAGTAGGTATTGATATGAAAATGTAATTAACCTTTCCTGAATGTGTTTAGAATGATGTTGAGCTGTATCAGAACAAGTATAAGAGCACATAGACTAGGGGTGGGCGATATCTCAGTATTTTAAATCTATCGAAATGAGCCATGCGCTTTTAAGTTTCATTTCTGTAAAACGTAAACACATGTGGCAAAACTGCATTAAACACATTATAATGTCAAACGAGATGATGTGGTTCTAGAGTCGTTATGGTTTATATGTTGCAAAGTTTATTAATGTAAAGTTTATTTATGCAGAAGATTTTGATCAATAATTTGCTGCAGTGTAACTTGAACAATAGTGTTTGGAAACGTTAGGTTTGATCTGCAGTGGATTGTGGGAAACCTCAGAGCTCGTTACTGCTGGTGAGGAAAATGGGTCTGTTAAAATAAGGAACATCATGAACTTCCTCTGCTAAAGGAGCTCATGGTTATTGTACGGTTAAAGAGTTAATGCAAAGATGAGCTTGAGTTGAGTTGTTTTATTTATGAATGAAAAGAAGGAAATATGTATTATTTGTTTTATTTTACAGTTAAATTATTATTTATGCAATCATGGATTTTTTGTAATTGTGAAGCACTTTGTTCCTACATGAACTGTCCACCTCTTGCACTTCAATAAAAAAAAAGACCTTGTGGAATTTGGCATATGTGTTTTTGTAGTAGTTTTGGGAGGTTATTTTTTTCCTGTACACATATCGAGATATATATCGTATATCGAGATATAGAAAATATATCGAGATAGATTTTTTGCTCCATATCGCCCAGCCCTAACATAGACTAATATGGACCACTGTGGAACATATCTGGACCACTGAGGGTTTACACACATATAAGACACATGGGAATAAAATAAGAAAAAATAATACAAGAAAGTACTATGATTTAATGTTGAAAATCACATTCTTTTGTCTAAATAAAGACTGTTTTATTTATCATTGTGGTATCAGAATCAGAATTGACAATGGAGTCTATTCCTTAGTGTCAGACTCAAGATTAATTTTAATATCATGTAAACTCTACTCCTCAGTCCTCACCTGGTGTGGGTCCCTGTGCCCCTGCAGTAGATTGGCGGCCTTAATGTCGCTGTGGACGTACTCGTTTTCATGGATAAACTCCAACACATCCACCTGCGCACACACAAACACACACACAGGACACATGGAGGAGGCCACACCCCTGACCGAGAAACACTAAAATACACTTGTACAGACACATACACACAAACAGGACTTATTGAGAAGGCCCCACACCCGATTGAGATACACTAAATAAACAAACAGATGTAGTCCTCACCAGTCTGGTCCCGAGCTGCAGAACTGTGTCGGGTTTGAACACACCTCCATTTTGGTTGCAAATCTTCTGCAGGTCACAGCCCAGACGGTCCAAGACCATGAAGCGATACCTGTCACCACCAAGGGTTTAACGGGTAAGATTTTGGGGGAAAAAAATAAATAAAAATCTAATTGCAATTTGTGTCATTCATTTAGTCATTAGATTTGGATTCTGTTGTGTTGGATTCAATGTTCACATTTTAAATACATCAAGGAATTGATAAAAAGACTGAAATCTGAACTGACAAACTAATCATCACAAGAATCACATTTCAGAACATGTTTGTGCAGCTCTAAACTACACGATTAGCAGCTGTTACGCAGAGGAAGACAGGAGATTTTGTCATTTGTGGAGGAAATTGCACCACACTCTTATTTATCACAGCTAAAAGAAGTGATATATTTTGTTCTAAATGTTATAATGAGAATTTTCAAGAAGAGTGGCTGTGGTTGGACCGTCCCAAGTTAGGACAGAGGTTTGTCATGCTCTGTGGTCCAGTTCCAAAAGGATGCAGAGGAGACTGACATGATCACACTACAGTCAACAAAGCATTCAGTATCCAAACCCTAATGTAGTAAAGTCCAAAGTCCTAAAGTGAGTGAAATACCTGAGGTCGTTGTACTGGGCCTGTCCTGAGCCCCAGTAAGTCGGAATCCCCAAGAAGTCCAGTCGCTTAGTCTTCATCCATTTCTGAACTAAAATCACATCAAATGATTAGACCGTACATACAAAATTATTACAGTTATTTAGTCCTAACTGAACAGCCCTCATCCAAACATAAGGAGAGCAGAGGATGGTGATATACCCAAAAATAAATATCATGATTTTCTTGGAGCCAGATCACAAGTGTGTGTGCTGTTGTAATGAATGTGATTTGTTGGCACTATTGCTTTGAATGAGTCTGGACATCATTACCTGTGACATCATAATCCTGGAAGAATTCAAACTGTGCATTTTCTGAGGCTCAGAGACAAAACACTTTTTACATACAATGTAGTGTATGCCCATCTCGCTCAGCCCTACAGTGCACATGTGAAGCCTGCTGCCTGGTACTCACTCATGTCCTTCTTGGCCGCTCTCTGGTAAAACTTGAGCTCACAAAACAAAGGCCCATTCTCCAGATATTCCTGGATAGAACACACAAAGATTTAGAAATAAAACAAAGGAAAGACCAGTGTGAAATTTCAATGTTGCAATACAAAATATAGAGGGATTATCAGACACTTCGCGATAACCCTACTGCGCATGTCTCCTGCAGAAAGAGACACTGTCCTGTCTGTATCATGTCAGGGTCTGGAAGGATTTCAGCAGATTTCAGGCTCTCCCAGGCCAGGGCTAGTTGTATCGATCAGGTATGAGTGGATGTCCAGCTACTGAAGTTTGAGACATTTCTTCTTGTCATTTATGCACTCACCTGGATTTAATGCATATGGGTAAGACGTATACCACTCACTATTGAATTATTATAATGAACTAAAATTAATAACTACATTTAAAATGTTAATGTTAACAAAAGAGAAATTCAATTTGTCAACTGGACAAAAGTTGGTCGAATATGTTTCTCAGCTCATCCAAGCTGCTTCTTCAGTTCTGGCCGGACGCTGGTGGACACTTCCTTCTATCTGCCTGCAGGAGGAGCTAACTACACTGAAACTACTCTGAAAGTAACACAACTACCTGTTTACAGTTTCTGTTAGCTAGTTAGTTAGTTAGCATCATAACTTATTTTATCACACAGTGATAAACTGTTTTAGTGCTGACAACAGCAAAAGCAAGTGTTAAAACTTCATGTTAAGAGCACAGACAGCAGCGCTTTCTGCACTCAGACTGCCCGCACATCCACTGTGTTCACAAACAAATAATCTGTCTATAACAACAGCAGGAGAATAAAAAGAATATTCTACTGTATATAATCAAAATCAGGTCAGATAAATAAGGATGGACACACAACTAGACATTCAACTACTAGAATATTGACATAAAAAATAATAATAAATGAGATACAAAATAGTACAGAATAGAATATACTGAATTATTATTTTATATATTCTAGAAAGAACAGTCACTTTCTGTACTACAGCAACATTTGACTAAAACCCAACTTTATTTCTACTGTGCTTGAAAAGCATAGCTGAGCAAAGTGCTGTACACAGCAGTAATGATTAAAAAAACAAAAAAAAAGACACAGATTGGCAAAATACAAACACATAAAGACACACTGTACAGTAATGGTCATTACGTATGAATCACAATTACAGGCTAAAGAGAACAGGTGAGTTTTAAGAGCTAACTTAAAAACACATTCAGCCTGTCTAAGGTGGACAGACCACATCTGAATCACATTTCACAGAACAAAGACAGAGGAACGGGCAAGAGAGGGAATAAATAAAGAACTTTTATGACTCACTATACACAAATTAACTACTTAAAGGGTTTCATTTTACTGTATATGTCTGCATTGGGATTGTTGTGTCAGTTGCATAAATTAGTTTCAATATTATTGTTCATCTATATTTTCTTCAGAAACACACTACCAGTCATTGAAGATTCTCACTGAAGACATAATGGGCCCGATATTACCCCAACCTTAGCACTAGTGCTAGCATTAAGGAGTGGGCGTGTCCAGGTGGGGTTGTACTTTGCTGCTGGAGGATGGAGTGGGACGGTACAACTACAGATATGGTGATAGCGTCTGAACCAATCTGTGACCGCTGTGACATTTAAAAGCACTGCCAGTGTGGGTAATGTCTGTAATCTTTACTTCATTATCAGGCAGCAAAGAGGAATGTGGGGAAAAGTTATATATGTGACAATAAAACAGCTCCGGAGCTCCATGATGCAAGTACACACCAGCAGAGGCACCAGGAATATAGACTTTTGTATGGGCCATGACAGAACTGACTGAACACTTTGCGTGCACATGTGCCCCTCTCACACACGCGCACTGCTGTAAGCCCACACGTCAACCGGTTATAGTTTGTTTAGTTTGTTTGCAAGGCTTTGGGGGCAGGAGTGCTACTTGGATATGCAAAAAATTTGCAGAATAGTTCTTTTGGGGCTCTTCAGTGTAGGGACCAGTCTCAAATACAATGCAGGAAAAAACTGAGGCACTCAAAAAGTACAAAATAATTAAAAGCCTTTAATACCACATGGCAGATAAAGTTAAAATACGCCAATGCGTTTCGGCCCTTCGGCCTACATCAGGGCAAACTCACAGTCCCCTAGATGCATGATGTCCCATCATGCAACTAGGGGACTGTGGGCCAGCCCACTGTGAACATGTGACCTACACCTATTACTTTAAATCTGCACTGTGATAACCATCTCGAGTTTGCCCTAATGAAGGCCGAAGGGCCGAAACGCGTTGGTGTATTTTAACTTTATCTGCCATGTGGTATTAAAGGCTTTTAATTATTTTGTACTTTTTGAGTGCCTCAGTTTTTTCCTGCGTTGTTTAGTTTGTTGTTTGTTTAAGACCAGTGTCTGTCTCATGAGCTCCCATCCCACAGCAGACCCACTGCTTTCTCACACCCGCTCCCTCTGTCCCGCAGTCCACTCCCACGGACTCACCTGAGGTACAAATGTCCACCACTGCTACTGTTGACCACTCACACTCTCGTCTCTCGGCTCCACTGCATTTGTTCCCACACAGGTGGAAGTCTTGCAGATTATGGAATATGTGTATTGTCATATAAATGTTTCTAATGTTACCGCTTCGACACCGCAGCATTAGGAGCGCAGACAGGGTAAGAAAACAGACTTTAGGACATCGCTGTAATAGGCCTCATGTGAATGAGCAGCTTTTGTACAGATCCAGATCAAACCAAACTGTAGAGAAGCGCTGAGCCGATACAGAGAGCGGGCAAGGGGCTGTGTGTGGGAGGGCATCTGGATGTCTCCCGCACAGCCCACGAATGTTATGAATGGTAAGCATTTATCATCCTAATATATTTCCAAATAAAAGAAGCCTTGAGCATGTTACATGGTGTTTTTCAGTGGATTCATTTGATATTTATTTTTACAGTTCTGACCACACCTGCCCTCAGTCTGCTCCACTCCACCTGATGTTCAGACACGACACATCGACTGTTTAGAACTCCACGACTGACACTTGCACTAAGTGCTAAGACTGGGGGAAAGATTGCGCCCCAAAATTCTGAATGAATGGAGTGCAGCAAACAAACAAAAAAATCTACTCAAAAGAACTCAAAACTGGTTTTAGATGTTAGACCAAAATAGCCACCTTTTAGTTTTATCACTGCCCAGACAAGACACACCTTTCAAGTGAAAACCAGTTCAGATCACTTCATTATGAAAATCAAAACTAAAACACATAGATTACTAGGGCTAGCAGAGCTCTGTGCAAAAAGATCAAGTTCAGGCTCTCGCCATGGGGGTCTCCTGATCACTCCCTGAACAAAAATCACAGTTCTCCTTCTTTAGTCTGATTAAACTTACCACTTTGACCACAAACTGGGAGTCAGCAGAAACAGGCCGCTCCACATCTGGAGAAGCTACAGGAAAAAGAGAAATAAAGTTATTATTAAATAAAAAGGGAACAAGAGGATTTTTTTTTCACTCATCCAGGTTTGAAAATATTCCAAAAAACTAAATCCAGTTCACATAATAATATTGTTTTGAGTGAGCACTTGAAATTCAATGGGACCATGTTAAATTCCGATTAATCTGGTCCAAAACCAAACTCATCTAACACAAACGATCAGCCTCAACAAACCAACATTAAAAATAACAATAGTAACAGTAGAGGTTTTTTTAAGTATGATAACAAACATGAATCATTCTCCAAAACTGCAGTAATTTATATTTCAGGATGTGGAATAAAGTAAAGGATTTCTAATATGTCTTAATTTAAACGTGCAGTACAAACTACAATAAAAGGGCCTTTAATCCCACTACACCTTGTTATTTGGTCTCGCACAGTAAAGAAGCACACTGTGCTCTGTCTGCTGTATTACTCAAATCTGACACCTGTGGATCATTGTTATAATTTTAAATCATAATACTCATCTAAAATGACTTAATAAAAGAAACAAGTGCAGTGTCTTTTGCATTAGAAAACTGTGGTGTCCGGTGGGAGCTGACATGGCCGTAAACGTCATCACAACAAAGCGACGCATCCTGTGGGCTCTGCCTCCTGCTAAGGAGAGCCGCACCTCACACTAGTGAGCAGTGGATTTTTATTTTATTTTTTTTTTTTAATGCCTAGATGACTACAGGATGCTGGCAGTTGCATCACAGATTAAGAAAATAAAATACAAGTACAAAGGAAGAATAAATCACCGAGGTAGATGAGTCCGAACCCTCCCTGTCCGATGATCCGGCCCAGCCTCCAGCTCTTCGGCTCTGTGTCTGTGAGGATGAAGCCTTCAGGTAAAGGTTTGGGCAGGGTGCATTTCTTTGTGGGCGCCATGGAAACCAGCAAACTGAAGAAGAAAAAAATAAACATTCTAATTTAACAAATTTATATTTTCCTAACAATTTTTATCCACTCTTTACGAGGTAACTAAAGCCTCTAGTGAGTGAAGGGACAAAGGTGTCTTCCTCCTCACAGAGCAGGGAAGGATATGACTTGCTGGCCCATCATTGTGGTTTTTTTTTTTTTTTATTGACTGCATTCACGTTCTAGTGTTTGATGATAATTTCAGATGGACCAGAGGTCTATACAACTCTGTGGGAGTTTTTGAAAGAAATTTCCAAATTTCTGATCCACAAATGTTGATGTACTGTGTTTACGGTTCTTTCTGCACTCTTAGTATTTGGTTATTTGATTTCAGTACCAGTAAAAGGGGCCTAATTTTTTTCCCTCAACCAAGTTATGCCCCACAACCACCACTTTGCACTGGTGGCTATGTATAATTGACACTTGAATGACTCACCAATGCAAAGCACCGTGTGCTACAAAGGCTACGGGAAGTCCCATGCTTCCATGAGCGACAACAACTTCAGTATTGTAAGAGTTTAACAAATGTCACCAACACACAATTTAACAATTTCAGATTGTGGTTGGCGTCTGATGAGACTGAGCAGCACAAAGGGACGTGCAGGGTCTCAAACTTATGGGCTAATGCAACATATTATAATGTAATAAGTAAAAACTTCTATTTAAATGTTATTCATGAAGATGTATTCCCATTGAGATTTTAACCAAGTGTCTATCAATATTTATTTAAATGTAATCATGTGGGTTATACACTGGATATTATATATTAAATCTTACTAGTATTTGTTTGGGATTGGCTCCACAATCTTCTCATATTAATCCTGGCTGAAAGTTCAATCACGGAGTTGGGTAATGGCACCACTCTCTGAGGCTGAAATAATTTCATGTTTGTTTCAGTTTAACAGAAACCCTTTGTCAGTTTCTGTTTCATGTACCCAGTAATTACAGAGACAATGAACCATGGACTAGGTAAACACATCTACAATCTGACAGTTATACAGCCAACTCCACCTGAGAACTTTGATCTGTCTCAGCTCAGGTGCAACCAGAGGGATTCTACAATGTTGTGATGTCAAGATGTGTCGCTAAATGTAAATGGCAAATCTGCACTGACAGAGCCACTGTTCCACAAGGGAAGTTCAATAAACCCTGAATTTCAGAGTTAACTCAGGGTTAATCTCCTCTGAGACAGACCAGTCAGAGTTTACACTTCCCAACACACTGCAGAAGGTGATGACAGATCAGGCTTTAAGTCATTTGAGTCAACCAGTTGTCAAGTATAAATGAACACAAGTCACAACATTAAACTCTAGTGAAGCTTAGTGAAGTGCACGTGGTCCATCTGCGAGGGTCCAAACAGAGGCCTACTTCAGGAGCACACTCAGGTTAAACTCAAGGTTAGAGGAAAAAAACATGCTCTGGACCAGGTTAGGCTCAGGGTCTGGGTTAACTCTCTTTGTGAAACAGAAAACTCTGAGTTGACCTCTTTTCAGGGTTAAAGAAGTCTGAGTTTGGCCTCAAACTGCTTCTTGAAACAGGGCCAGAGTGAATCATTGTTTATTGTTTCGACTCTTTAAAAGTGAATCGATAAAACTATAAAAAAGCACACACAAAAAAAACAGAAAAGGTGGGGGATTTTCTATGAAACAGTCATAACGGCCCAAGCAAACAAACAATGTGCCAAACCTTCACTATGAAGATAATTAGAGGAGTTGTCAGGAAGATCCCAAACTCAATTTCGATTCTAACGAAAAGACTCAGTACTCAATACTGATACCACAATGATAATAATAATAATAATAATAAACACTCTTTAGATAGACAATAGAATTTTTTTAGTACTGACACTTGCTCAAATTAGTATCTAGTTTTGTAATAGTTTTGTCTTAATTAGATTTTCAATACTTCTGACAACCCTACGGCTGTAACTAACAATTATTTTAGTCAAAATACAAAAGATGACTTCTACTGTACACTGAGACTTCAAATGTATTAAAAATAAATAAATACTGGTACTTGAAACAGTGAGACAAAGTTTTAGGAATGAAGAATTTTAATATTTGCATTTCTGAAGAGAATCTGAATTTAGGTCATTCTTTTCAGAAGATAACCAGATAATGATCATGATGTGATTATCAAAATGTGACCTTTTTTTTTTTTTTAATATAGTTACAAATCACAATTAGGCAGTTAATTGTTGCAGCCATAATGTTACAAAGCAATTCATATACACTAATATTTCTACAAATCATAAGCAGTGCAAGAAACACAAATGTTCAAATCATTTCATATTGTCAACATAAAGCAGAAGAGTGGAAGAGTAGCCACAACTACTCGAGTAAGAGTACTGTTACACTGTACAATAAAACAGGTTCCTCCTTCACATTTACAAGTAACACTGTGTACATTTATCTCAGTAGTCTACTATTAATATTCAAAGTAATATTATGGACAGAATTCAACTTTAGCAGATCCATAATGGTATATTTTTGTTAAAGACTTAACAGTGCATTGTGTGACTTTTCTGGTGGAGGGTCTATCACCTGCTTGTTTCTATGGGTATGTCGTTGCTCTGCCTGGAATGTTCCAGAGTGTGACAAACAGCTCTACCTTGTATTTATTCAGTTACAGGTGGTTTTAGGGCAGCTCGATTATGGAAAAAAAAATCATTATCATGATTATTTTGGTCAATACTGAAATCATGATTATTCAAAAGATTATTTTTTTTAGTTACACAATGAATTTATTCAGCATTTTCCTCTCAAAAAAACAAAAACAAAAAAACACTTTGTTAATAATTATATAAATATAGGCTTCAAATATGAACCTTAGAGCAGTTTTGCAATGTATAAAGCATAAAATGAATAAACTATACATTGAACATGAAATAAGGCATAGAAACATAAATGTCTTCAAAATAAACATATCCAGCTGTTCTACAATCTCTATATTTAAAAAATACAACTAATATACTTATTTATATAAAATATATCCCAAAATAAACTTGGCCACGTCTAAATCGTTTCAACGCGATTCTATGAGTTTGGAGATTGTTTGACACGCAAATCGAAATCACGATCAATTAACTGCACAGCCTTAGGTGGTTTTACAGCTCAAAAATACCTAGAAAAACAGGCATTCTGACTGTGAACAGGGTCACCTCTCCACAAATCTGACCTGTAACTTGGTCTGGTTTGGTCTCCCGTGAAGACAGACATGTTTAATGCCATACTGTGAAGCATTCCAGACAAAGCAATAACATCTCCATGGAGAAAAGAATTTGAAGGGCCCTCTAACAGAAAAGTTACACAATGCACCTGTAGAATAATTTACCTGATATTATTGCAAAAATAAACCAGAATGTTAAGGTAGTGATGGAGTTAAATGTGGCACACCTTTCTTTTTATAATCTTTAATCCTTAATCTTAAAATTACCACACTCGGCCATCTTGGATTTGACTGAAAAAAATTCGTGTTCAGACAAGTCGCAAATTTTAGCTCCCAACTCAGAAATTAGTGCTGTCATGCTGTGACAAAGAGGGCCTTTGTCCCCATTTTTCACCTTAGTTCAGTTACATCTATTATATCAACTAAACAGCTAAATAATAACTATCCCGGGTTTGTTTTATTTAGTCTTTGTTTAATTGATCACATTCACACAGTTGCGTTAAATTCATTTTATTTGGTTATATCCCTTCATTTTTGTTTAAACTTACCACCTTTACCTGTGACTCCACATGGTCTGGGAACAAAAGAGGGGGCGTGTCCTTTGGCAGCCATATTTATAGGCTCAGGGGGAGGTGTTGGCCCAGACCATGTGGGGGAAGCCTCGGAAATGGTTCTTTGTTTTATCAAATGGGTTATTAGAATTTTGGTTTCAGTGTATCTAGTTAAGTTGGAGCACTGTTCAGTTTAAAAGGGGGATTAGGCTTCAGAAAATAATTTAAGGCAGCACACCAGTAAGGAAAGGAAATTGCTACAGTTTTCCCCGTAAGTTGGTGTGAACCCAGGGGGAGGGACTTCCTCTCTGGGGGGTATATAAGTAGAGGCAGTTTAATCAGTAGGAGGTCACCATCAGTGCAGCCAGGTGCCTGTGGGTATTTTCTTTTGTTGCGTTATTTTCTGTTGCTTTTGTTTAGTTAAGCACAGTTCTTTTTTGTAAATATGTATATAATTTTGCCCATGACTTGGAAGGATCCAATAAAGAATTTGGTTTGGTGAAGGACAACTTTGCACTGGACTCTCATTTTGACCACTTGGGCCAGTTTCCCCACACATGCGATAAAAAAAATTGAGAGATTAATTAATTATGATCTGTAATTAATTAATCTAATTAATCTCATTTTAATCTCACCTAAAAATTGCTGAGAAAAGCCTTCAATTTGAGGTATTTTCATTTAAATTCATTATTACATTATTGTGGCAGATCAAAAGACTGATATAGAACAAAAAAAAGTGACTTTATAAAGTCTGTGGCGGGGCTCTATTAAAAACTTAGGCAAGATCGAGATTCTGAGTGCAGGTGGTTTATTGTGCCAGTGTCCAAAGTGCAAAAATCCCAAAAACAGTGCAGAATATTTACAGTGAGCAAAACAATCCAAAAAGTATTTACAGCAAAGAAACAGGGTCGAGTTCTGCGTTAACTGTCCCCTTTAAGAATCTGTACAGCACCCGACGTTACCTGCTCTGTACCCGGTGGCAGACTGATTAACAGCCAGGAACGGCTCCCCTTTATACTCCCCTGACTCCTCCCACTGAGCAATATATCAAAATCATTCTAAAGACAAACAATTTAACCATAAACCTACCTTGTCTATGCTACGTTGAGCACACAGTAATAATGTACATTAAATGTCAAAAATAATAGCTGAAAAACGTAAAGAAAATCGTATTACATAATGCGCGTCACATGGTCAGCACCACGGCGCGAACAGCGCCTATTTCAACTACCAGGAGATAGTGGCTCGGTTTGGCAGAGGCGCGCCGCGTCGAAGGAGAGAGAGACGGCGTCATGGGACAGGTACGAGACAAGTAAGAAATAAATTACTCTAACGCGCTCAAGTGTGCACCCTTGGCGAATTAGTAACGGAGGAAAGAGGGGAGAAGGCGATAACAGTGAATACGGCGCGAATGAATGAAACAGCGGGGAAACGGGGAATGAACTCGTGTGTGCGGGATGACTCAGCGTGTGTGCGCGCGGACACGCCAGTGCAGACCGCGGTTACGTGTAGGGGGAAACGCCACCTAAAATCATAGACGGACTGGCTCCGTCACAAAGTCATTTATTGTTTAACAAATCTCTCCAAATTGTCTGTTGAGCCCAAGTCTCCATGAATAAGAAACTGTTTGTTGTAAAGTAGCAAAGACGAGGAAATCTGAACATAATAACTTTTGTCTACTTAAAGACAATAAAAAGTCCAGTCTTTCCTTAACCATATTAAAAATATTATTGATAGAGAAATGCTTTATATATGAGATCACTGGTTTTAGTCCTGGTTTAGACCTGGTTTAGACCTACTTTAGTCCTAGTTTAGTCCTGGAATGGATTAATCCTGGTCCTGGTGTTAGTTCTGGTTTAGTCCTGGTGTTAGTTCTGGTTTAGTCCTGGTGTTAGTTCTGGTTTAGTCCTGGTGTTAGTTCTGGTTTAGTCCTGGTTTAGTCCTGGTTTAGACCTGGTTTTAGTTCTGGTTTTAGTTCTGGTTTTAGTTCTGGTTTAGTCCTGGTTTAGTCCTGGTTTAGACCTGGTTTAGTCCTGGTTTAGTCTGGTTTAGGTGGTTTTAGTCTTGGTGTTAGTTCTGGTTTAGAGGCGCACAGGAGGAAGCGCGGTTTACGCCGCGTACGCGAGAAAACACGATCCACACGCGGCTCACGGGAGCACGTCGGTGTCCGCGCAAGTGTCAACGGAAGGAAACGTGGTCCGCGCGTTCTCAGGTTAAATGACGATGATGAAGGTGTGTGTGTGTTGTGTTTGTGTGTGTTTGTGTTTGTGTGTGTTTGTGTGCGTGTCCCCTCATGTGGCAGGTCACTATAGGACAGTAGTGCAGACATCATGAGTCTATGCAGGTTGTTTTCAGGCGATATTATATTTGTTATTTTCTTTTATATTTCACGTCGGGAGAATAATTTCCAAGACACGAATGTGTTTTTACCTGTGCACTGCTGCTCTGTTCTACTGGCTCTTCCACCTCGTCCATTGTGCGACTGATGCCGCCAATGTTAACGTGACGTTTACTTACGCTGTTACTGCGCGCGTTTTGTGTGAATTTCCGGCAATGAGTGGAATTACCGAAATAAAAAAAATGTATAAATGTGTTTTGTGTGTGTGTGTGTGTTGTTGTCCCAACAACACATAAAAACAGGTTTTATAGTAAAGCAACTCGCATACATAAACACTAAAGTTAGAGATTAAAAATGAGATTAACGCGATTAAAAAACATAACGAGCTAAATATGACTGTAATTAATTAATCGCAATTAACGCGATAATTTGACACCCCTATCAGAAATATTAAAAATATTTTGTCAACTCCTCCCTGACCTGTTTTGAGCAGAGTTTTCTGAGGAGCCACTTTCAGATGCTGTATCTAAAACGAATCTAAGCGAATCATGTACATTAAAGCGAAGACCATTCATTTTGTGAAAATAAGGCAGAACACCATAATAGATTATGGATATGGATATGTTAAAAACAGACATCTAGTCTTTCTAAAGCAGTCCATTTTATGTTGGTGGGTGCTGACTTTTTTTGGTATAACATGGTAAAGATGGCAACAAATGTATTTTGTTCCATTTTGAACACTTAATATCTTGTAGAGCGTTCATCACAGAGGCTCAGTTTTAAAATACAAAGTCCACAGTGGCATGTGTGGGAAGGTGTGTGTTCAATATCAAACCTCTGTCTTTGAAACTGCACTTTCCACAGTGATTCAAAGAAGCCCTCAAATTTGAAGAGTACAATTTTCGAGCAAATTCAAGCCCCCAGAAATCTGTGATAAACCAAAAGTGTGTAAAAGTCCAGATTTTACAAGTACATTTGACTAATTTTAACCCTTGAAAATTTGATGGACTGACCTTAAATTATTTTTTTAGATAAAGCAATCTGAAAGTGGCTCCTTGGAAAACTCTGTTCAAAATAGGTCAGGGGGGAGTTAAAACTAAAACTAAAAGGAGATAGGAGCAAAAAATGTGGGTCTTTTCCTATTGGAAAGTGTCTGAACCTCCTAGAATGTTTTGTTTTCCAGTCAAATCTGAGATGGTCGAGAGGGGCATTCGGAGATTTGTTGTGGAATGACCCAAATAACCACAAAGCAAAAAATGTACCAGCAGAAGTCTCTCAGATTACACAATGCTACACGCTCTGTTCACTATTTTATTTATAGCAAATCCCGGTGTGTTCCTGTTTACAACTTTGAAAATCTGGTCACCCTATGCAAAAATAAACCACAATGTTAAGGTAGATATGGATGAATTCATATTGTTTCTCTCGTTTGATTATTCCAGGCTTTTGGAAAACAAAAATCTGTGAAAGTTATATTATTTCAATTATTTACGATCTTTGAGCTTTTCCTCGTGATCGCAAAAGAGCATGTGTGGGTTTGCATTAGTTAAAAAGTGAAGCTAACTGTCAACTCCTCTCGGCTTCATGTAAAAAAAACATAATAACAAATGCAAAAACACAAATACCGACCTCGGAAACACGCCGGCGCAGTCCTCAGTGTCTGTCGGAGTCAAATTAAATGTGTAAAGCTCCGGTGGACCTTTTACAAGACAATCACAACACAAGCAAACTCTTCCGGGAACACGCCCCTCCTACTCCAGCCTCAGCCAATAGGAGCACGGAGAAGTTTCTAAGCGGTTTCTGACTAACCAATCAGAGCGGTGCATGGTGTGGTTCTGGCTCTGGCTGTTTTGGAGCTTGTTTCCAGTGAACACCGGGCTAGTGAACACCAAAGCCTGATATGAAGAAGAGAGTGGCCAAACGTCCGTATTTACCCGGGAGAGTCCCAGGCTCCCACAATATAAGAAAAAGAAATGACAAGAAACACTGAAATCTTTTTTTTTTTTTTTCTTTAATTATCTTTATATAATTTATATTAACGCTACCATTAGAGGCTACAGTGTGAATTCCCTATTATATAATATAGTGATATTCTATTAATACAGCACTTTTCTAAAAAAAAAAAAAAAAAAAAAAAAAAAAAAGTTATGACATTTTCTACACATGGAAACAAAATATGATAACGAAATATGATAAGAAAATGATAACGATAAAATCAAATATTAAATCCAAACTATTCAATCATCTAACGTAGGTTTTCTGCCGAAAATCCAACACACACATGTCGATGCTTAATGGGTCAAAACAGACAATAAAACCAATACACTTTTAAAATGTGACTTTTTACTCCACTTCTGCCTCAGGAGCTCAAATCGATGGCATTTAGACTGGAACACTGTTGGGCAAGTTACTCTGAAACTGTAATGCGTTATTTATTACCTATTACTGTCATTTCAAAGTAATTCGTTACATGATTTACCAAAATAATAATACAAAAAAAATGTATTTATTTTTATGCATTTTTTTAATTTGTTTTTTCATTTAATGTTTTTTATTTAGTTTTTATGATTTTTTTATTTAATGATTTTTTTTTCTTTTATTCAATTATTTTTATTTATTTATTTGTATATACATTGCAAACAGTGTAAATACTTCTATCTGTGGTAAATCAATACACCACTTTAAAACAGAGTGAACACCTGTTTTGTTTTAAAGACTCTATTCAACAATCGTAATCAAAACCTGTTTCTTTTATTGGGTCACATGGTGGTTCAGCTGACTAGACCTGGGCTTGTTTATAACAGGTGTGGAACTGAACCTTTCATGTCTGAAGAAGGGCTTAGCCCAAAATGTCACATTGTGATGTCACTGAATAAAAATATATATATATATATATATATATATATATATATATATATATATTTTTTTTTTTTTTTTTTTTTTTTTATGATACAGTAAGCTCCCATATGCTTTTGCATCGATAAAGCTCAAAATTAGGACGACCAGATTTTCACAATCAACAGCAGGGACACCTCTGGTTTGTCATGGTTGGTAATAATAAGACTGAAACGAGTGCATAATTAAGAAAAATTGCTATGCGCTTGGTCCATTCATGAGTAACATGTGAGTCAGTATGTTATGTTTTGTTATTTTGAAGCAGCTTTTCTGTAGTTTACCTCAACAAGCACAAGCGGCTGTCACCCTGCTGCTCGGGCTCGCGGCCCTGATTTCAGCAACTATTTGCAGGTTCCCGAGCCGGTGCAAGAGTCTGTTACAGCGCGTAACTTCTACCTTCCTTCAGCGTGTCCAGAAGTCCAACTTTTTGTGTGATGGTTTGCATCTTCCTCTGCCTTTTGGGTGCGAGTGCAGGAGCCTTTGTCGGTGCAGAACGTTTCGTCGACGTTGTGGGTTTCGTCGGGGAGAAAACTTGCAACCGTAAATAGTTGCTGAAATCAGGGCCGCGAGCCCGAGCAGCAGGGTGACTGTCGCTCTTACCTCCGTGAGGTGCGGAGCAGAGCCGCTCCTTTCTCCTGCGGTCACCTTCGAGCCCTTCCCTACAGTGAGTCCTGTTTTAGTCCTAGTTCAGTTCTAGTTTAGTCCTAGTTCACTTCTGGTTTAGTCCTGGTTCAGATCTGGTTTAGTCCTGGTTTAGACCTGGTTTAGTCCTGGTTCAGTCCATATACAGCGCAAAAGTTATTTTGGTGAGAGTAACTTAAAGTAATGCAATAGTAATGTAATGCCTTACATTTTAAATGCAGTAATATTGTAATGTAACGACTTACTTTGAAATGACAGTAATAGGTAATAAATAACGCATTACAGTTTCAAAGTAACTTGCCCAACAGTGCTTGTTGAGGTAAACTACAGAAAAGCTGCTTCAAAATAACAAAACATAACATACTGACTCACATGTTACTCATGAATGGACCAAGCGCATAGCAATTTTTCTTAATTATGCACTCGTTTCAGTCTTATTATTACCAACCATGACAAACCAGAGGTGTCCCTGCTGTTGATTGTGAAAATCTGGTCATCCTAATTTTGAGCTTTATCGATGCAAAAGCATATGGGAGCTTACTGTATCATAAAAAAAATTTAAAAAAATATATATATATTTTTTTTTTAATTCAGTGACATCACAATGTGACATTTTGGGCTAAGCCCTTCTTCAGACATGAAAGGTTCAGTTCCACACCTGTTATAAACAGGCCCAGGTCTAGTCAGCTGAACCACAACAAAAACAAAACAGGTGTTCACTCTGTTTTAAAGTGGTGTATTGATTTACCACAGATAGAAGTATTTACACTGTTTGCAATGTATATACAAATAAATAAATAAAAATAATTGAATAAAAGAAAAAAAAATCATTAAATAAAAAAATCATAAAAACTAAATAAAAAACATTAAATGAAAAAACAAATTTAAAAAATGCATAAAAATAAATACATTTTTTTTGTATTATTATTTTGGTAAATCAGTGGTAAATCAATACATCACTTTAAAACAGAGTGAACACCTTTTCTGCACTAAAGATTCTATTCAACAATCTTAATCAAAAACCTTTTCTTTTATTGGCTCACATAAGTCCCATCAGCTGACTGGACCTGGGCCTATTTATAACAGGTGTGGAACTTAACTTTTCATGTCTGAAGAAGGGCTTGGCCCGAAATGTCACATCGTGGTGTCATTGAAATAAAAATTTGTGAGCTTCAAAGAACAGCAGTACAAATCTCTTTCCTTTTTTTGTACTGTTATTGTCTTTGGACCAGCACACAGTCGCAGTTTTTGTTTGGATGTGCATGTCTCTATCTACCAGTACTGCTTGCTGTATCATCTTATTCATTTAGAACCTTGAAGTACAGTGAGAACAAAATGACAAACGTATTATTTTAAGTTTTAACATGTATTTATTTATTGTCATAGAGCTGGTCATTTTTACAAACCGTTAATTTGTATAATTCATTGATAATTATGCAAAGAAGGCACCTATGCATTTGTTTAGATGCAACACAATGGATTGATTCCCATTGTGGTTTTCTATAATGGAACGATTTCAAATGGTCATTTGATCAAAATACTTCATCTGCATGTGAGTTCATGCAAAAACAATTATTTATACAAAAAATGACTAGGAATAAGGGTATTTGTGGAAAAAGGCAGATTAAACACAAGATTTCTCCTTTCTGCTGTTGTGCATATATGTTCTTACGTTCTAAATAAAAATAATTTGTCGACTAATACACATTTTGGTCGACTAAGGCAGCACAGGACTACAGCCCTATGGTTTACCAAAACAGAAGTCATATTTGAATGATATGTACAATCCTTAGAGCCACTTGGAATGTGTTAACATGAACACAGTAAAGCTTCAGCCATGCTCTGTACAGCCGAATGGTTTCTGGTGGAGTTTATGTGTCTTCCGAGATAAGAGTTTTGTGAATTTTTATATGTGTATTTAGGTTACTCTTGTGGGAAAATGCTTTATTACAAATGGAACAGCTAAATGGCTTTTCCCCCGTGTGCTGTCTCATATGGTATTTCAGACCATCAGCTTTGGCAAATTCTTTATTACAGATAGAACAGCTGAATGGTTTTTCACCTGTATGCGTTCGCCTGTGAGCGTTTAGATTACCTATTTGGGAAAATGTCTTATTGCAGATGGAACAGCTGAAAGGTTTCTCCCCTGTGTGCTGTCTCATATGGCGGTTCAGTCCAGATAAATGGGCAAATTCTTTGTTACAGATGGAACAGCTGAATGTTTTCTCACCTGTGTGCGTTCGTCTGTGAGCGTTTAGAGCACCCACCTGTGTAAATGTTTTGTTACAGATTATACAGCTGTAAGGTTTCTCTCCTGTGTGCGTTCTTACATGTAAACTAAGACTAGATTCAGTGGGAAATGTCTTATTGCAGGTTGAACAGCTGAATGTGTTCTCCCCTGTGTGCACACTCATATGGCGCTTCAGTCCGATCAGTTGGGTGTATTCTTTCTCACAGATGGGACAGCTGAATTTCTCACCAGTGTGCAGTCTCATGTGGCGATTCAGTCCACCCACTTGGTTAAACTCTCTCTTACAGAAAGAACAGCTGAATGGTTTTTCCCCTGTGTGGGTTCTTCTGTGAGCATTTAGTGAACCAATGGTGGTAAATGTTTTGTTACAGGTTGAACAGCTGTAAGGTTTCTCTCCTGTATGTGATCTTATATGTACATTTAAATCATATTTTGTTGAAAATGTCTTATTACAGATTGAACAGCTGAAAGGTCTCTCTCCTGTGTGAATTCTGATGTGTCTTTCTAAACTCTGTTTAGTCCCTTTTATTGTCTTTGCACAAAAAGGGCACTGTTGTGTCTTGCCATCAGCTCCTTCGGCTGATCCTGACTTGTCTCCATGTTTCACAGTGGCACTGGACTCTGGTGCAGACTTGTATTCAAGGGATAGACCAGAGTTTTGTGTTGCTTGGTCTTGGTTGTTGTGGTCTTCATCATCTGAACAGATGAATGGAACTTCGCAGTCTTCGTCATTGTTATTGTTATTGTTGTTGTCATTGTCATTGTCAGAGGAGTGCTCTGTGTCCCCCTCAGTCTCTGTGTGGAACTGTGGTTCTGTGCTGATGTCCTCTCCTTGTGTCTCCTCTTTGGGCTCAGATTGTTCTTCTGCCTTCACACAAACCGCAAAATACTCTGGGACACACCTGGTGATATTAAAAAAGGATCAGATAAATCTAATATGATCAGTCAATAAACATCAGTTCTATGTGGATCTTACACTGGCAGCTGCTCTTCCTCCTGTTTGACGCTTGCTTCCTCTGGCTCCTCTTTAATCTGTGACGTCTCTGGGATTTCCTGCTTCACACGTTGGTTCAGACCCTGGTTCAGACCTGGCCCAGGACTCAATGAGGACTCCACTTTCAGGCTCTTCTCTGTGTCTGTGAGAAAGAAGCCATCGAGAAAAGGTTTGGGGAGCGGCCGCTTCTTTGGGGTTGCCATTGGCACCAACAGACTGGAAAAAAATCATGATAATGAAACCATCAGCATTTAAATTAAGAATAATAAATGTAGCATTTCATAATGGAGTTTCCTAAACTGTGAAATCTAGAATGTCCCTCGTATGACTCTGCCATATCATATCATAGAGTTCCATTTCATCCCATATGGGGATTCACTTATTAATCTGGAGATGTGCAGCTCTGACCACGCAAAGGTATGCACTTCTCCCACAGGAGTGTGTGCCTACCAAGCAGAGAGAGAATAACTAGAAATCGCCACAAAATCAGAGCTTTGTGAAAGCTGTAGGTCCCTGTAGGCCAAACACAAGCTCTTAGTGACATTGTGCTCTGTGGGAAAAATGCTTTCTGGGCAAAAGGGGAATTATCACTGCAGTAACAATGAGTGGCCAGTAGTTCAACTCAAAACAGGTGAAAGCTGACAATACCCCATCAAGTTCTTTTAACAGCTCCATGTAATCAGGGCTGTCCTGAGTGATGTCATGTCAAACTGCAGGGCCTCTGGAGGCAGCATGTGCTATGTTTTTTGTCCAGAAAGCTGCAAATGTATCTAGTTCACAGTAATATTAACAAAATTAGTAGACATAAACAGTGAGAGCTGTTTAGAAGCAAAATGTTGATTTCGTGTTTAGTTCCATTTTAAGCATTTGAGTCATTCAATTCGAGTCCATGTCTTGGTATTTAGTCTCACACAGTTTTATATGTTTTATGGTTGAGTAGGGGACAAAGCACCTCTTCTACAGTAAAAAGCATCCATATCCACAGCCCCATTCACATCTATGGCACCATGCACCATTCACATCTATTGCTCCATATCGAACAAGTTTTTGTTGCGTCGCGACCAAATGAATGAACACATGTTTAAGACAGTGAACATCAAGCTGCAGATGCATGTCACTGACAACATGTTACAGACTAAACAAAAGAGGTGAATACTTCACTGAAGGACACTTGTGTGTTTGAAAGGGGACATGTCTATCTTAATGCTAAGGCTAAAGCTACATTTAAGACGCAAAAACATCAAAACAACACCACAAACTCAAGTCATCTAAATATAAAACAACGCGGGTAGTTTTTGATGAATGGTCATTTTAAATGGTTATTCAACTTATATTTTACGCTTTTTATTAAAAAACAATAGCATTAGCTTTGAGACACACTGAGCTAGCTATTTGTTAGCATCAAAGTGAAGCTAACTGCTAACTCCACTCGACTTTATGGATAAAACTTCATGGCAAACTCAAAACAACAGATACCGACCACCGAAATACGGCCGCACGTCCTCAGTTTGTCTCTCGGTATGAAGTTATATGTATAAAAGCTCCGACTGCCCGTTTATTAAAGGAGAAAACTGAGTCTTGTGATATTTACACAGAATCCATAGAAATGAACGGAACCACAACACAAGCAGACACTTCCGGGAAAATGTCCCGCCCGCTCTAGTCTCAGCCAATAGGAACACGGAGAAGTTTGTGACTGACCAATGAGAGCAGAGAAGCCGTGTCTCTGGGCTCGTGCAGTGGCTCCTGTTTCGGGACGCTCTTTGTGCTCAGCTCGGAGCTAACGCCAAAAAGGTTTAGAAAATGTCCAAAAACCAAGCGCAGACAGCGGAGATGGAGGAGAGGCGGACTGCAGCGGAGTCTGAGGAGGACCTGAGCCGCCCCAAACAGGAGGACCAGAGGACAACCGTGCTGCTCGAGGTGGCTGTTCAGACGAGTCCCTCATGGAATCCTGGGCCCGGTCTGGACCATTGTCCGAACCAGGGTCTGATCCAGGCTGTGAAGCAGGAAATCCCAGATACTTTACAGATTAAAGAGGAGCCAGAGGAAGTGAGAATAAAACAGGAGGAGAACGTGAAACAAGAGGAAGAGCAGCTGCCAGTGTAAGCTCCGCGAACACACTGTATATTATGCAAAATTCACTCTTGTGAGCGTTACCTCGTCAAAAACACACCTGAAATGTGTTTTGTTTCATTCATACATGTTTCAGAACCCTTTATTATTAGTCTGTCCACATCTCCAAAGCTCAAAATGCCCTGTCCCACCTTGTGATGTCATGTGGTAGTAGTTTTCAAGTGAACAGCTGTTTTTACCTTTATTTCAGTAGAGATTAGCAAATCCAGATCTAAAATTATCCAAATGATTCTAGTGAAGTGTGTGAAGTTTAAAAACACAGTAGAGCATTTCCTGTATGGGGTCATTCCACGTCTGTTCACCCACAAAAAATTGCAATTTGACCCTTCACATTGTCCAGTTGCAAAGAAAATTGGTGTATGGGTAAGTCATAGCCAAGAAAGACAAAATGTCAAATTTTAGCATGATCAGAGTAACGGTTGCTGAGATATCACAATTAAATTTTTTTCACTTTTTGTGTGGTCTCTGAATGCATTTACTCAGCAACTACTGGTCTGAAAAAAAAAAGAAAAGGTATCTCTGGAAAGAGAATCAAAATCTGGCAATTATTTTTGCATTTGAATACTGTTAACATGAATTACCTTTTGACCTATATTTTGACCTTAAACTGACAATAAGGGACACGCAAAATGCACGTCTATAAATCTACTACAACATATTAAAAAATCTGGAGGGGTTTTCTTTTTTTATTTTCACACAAATTTACCTAGAAGTTGACTTACCCCCATCTTAAGAATAAATAATATCCATTCAGTGTATATGGCTGACAATCAAAAGAACATTACAGGACCATCGTATTGTCCCTGTCTGCCTGACACAGATGCATGTTGACAAACTCGGTGAACAGGCAAACCTCCCTCATTTGGCTGCAGTTCATCAAGGACACGTGAGTGATGAAGATGAACACGAAGGCTCTGCTGATATCCTTCTTGTTAAACATCATATGCTGCAGCTCTGATAACCTCCCATGGACTGGTCTGGTGGAGGAGATCTCAGAAGAATTCACTGATTATAAGATAAAGTTCATGTACCCTCATGGACCAGCCAAGACCTTCTACTGGCCATCCAAAGATCATTCCTGTTGGATACCTGATTCAGACATACACTGTGTAATAAACACTCCTTTCTTAAAATCATCTTTGACAAGAAACTACAGCATTTCGCATAATGACAGAATTTCTAACCACTTTACGAACTGGCCTGCAGATAAGGAGTAAATATCCTGATTTCATGAAACGAAGACAGTTGTGAAATTTTCAGTGACTTTTGGTTCTGTGTGATTGACAATTTTTCTTAGAGTATATTAACGTGGACTCTGTGTGTATAAATGTACAGCCGTATACACTGAATGGATATTTGGCATGTCTTAAGGTGGGGGTAAGTCAAACATATATCAGAATATAGAGTGATATGGGCCCTTTTAAACTCAAAGAACTCATGTTTACTGACTTTGAAATTAAGGGGTCAGTTCTATGTCCCCACTAGGGGTGTGCAAAACTATCAAAATATTGATATATCAGATCATTTAATGTGATGATACAACATTGATATTGTGGGCTGCAGTATCAATATATTGCCTAAAGTATTTTTTGGTATGTTTTAATACAATTATTTTGTTATTACTTTTTTTATTATTTTGTTTCAGCGCTGCAGTTTTGTTGCTTGTTTAGTGGAAGGAAACTTGTTTATGTGACACATTTGACATTTTCACTGTTTTGATGATTAAAATGTTTGTGTTTCATTATTTTTTTTGTATTGAATCATATGGAATCGATTTGAAATATATCTTATCGAATCAAAAGAGCACTGTATCAAGATATGTATCGTATCATGGCCTATTGGCAACTACCCAGCCCTAGTCCCCCAGTTGTTGGAAAATTTTGGTCTCTTGGTTTAGAAATTCTTCACCAAATATGTCCTGCCGATTGAGTAGTCGATCTAACAGCTCTCAACCCTTCACTTATCTCTGTGTATCTGACTGAAAGTAAACTCACAAGAAACGCCTGCACAGGATTTTATGTAAAAATGACTATTTATGCAGAAAAAAGTACAAGGAAACCATGCATTTACTATATAACAGAGTAAACTTGTGATGAGTTTAATCAAACCTTTTTCAGATACATGTCAAATAACAAATCATCAGCTTTTTTATTCCTTTCTCTAATACAGAGTTTGGTAGACTATGACTACAGCACTACACATTAGGGCTGGGTATCATTAAGAAGTTGCTGATATGATACATACCTTGATACATGTAGGCCACAATGCAATGCATATCTCGATACAATGCAGTTTTGATTCAATATTATATATTTCAAATCGATTTCGTACGGTTCAATTAAAAAAATGGCTAAATTATGGCTGTGATACTAAAAGTGTTTAAACCTTGAACCACTTCTTAAGCAAAGTTCATATGAAACGCAAAACAGTGAAAATGTCAAACGTGTTGCAGAAATGAATTTCCTTCCACTAAACAAGCAACAAAACTGTAGCTATAACAAAATAATTGAGTAAAATACACCAAAAAAATACTCTTGGCGATATATCGATACTGCAGCCCACAATATCAATACTGTATCATCACATTAAGAGATACGATATATCAGTATTTCGATATTTTTGGACACTCCTACTAGACATTATATTAACACGATCCTGTTTTGATCATTTTCAGGTGTGTCCTGTCCGATGTTGTGAGTCTGAAGAAAGAAGAGTCCTCACCGCCTCAACAAACTGAGGAGACAGAGGAAAAGAACATTAACATCTACACTGTTCCTGCCTCTCCAGTAGCTATGAGACTTCGATCCTACAGCGACATGATAGCCACTGTGCAAGTCATCATCCCTACTCAAATTTTTACTCAAACCCCTACTCAAAATCCTGCTCAAACTTTTTCTCAAACTTCTGCTCAAGCTTCTGCTCAGACTTCTGCTCAAACTCCTGCTCAAAATCCTGCTCAAACTCCTGCTCAAACTCCTTCTCAAACTCCTGCTCAAACTCCTGCTCTCCAAAGTCCGCGAGAGAAACCGGTTTTGAGGGAAAATTCTGTGTCTTCTCTCCTGCGAAGACCTTTTGCAAAACGTTTGTCTGAGGGACAGAAGAGAGTGATAGAGCTTGGCCCGGACCAGCCAGATTTATGTCTGAAGCAGAAGAATGGAGATCGCGGCCGCACGTACGTCAGAGGATTCTCCCGTAACGCTTACGAGAAGCGGCGCTGGCTGATGGGATGCGATGTGAAGAACGCGTTTTTTTGTTTTCCGTGTTTGCTTTTTAATTGCACTGGAACCGAAACCAAGTGGACTTCTACCGGCATTAGCGACTTGAGGCATCTGTCAGAAAAGTGTAAACGCCATGAGAACTGCGTTAGCCATGTCGATAACTGTTTCAGGCTAAGCGTTTTTGGTCGTGCAAATATAGCTGTGCAATTAAACGAAGCATACAGAGATAGCATACGCAATCATAACAAAGAGGTCACTAAAAACAGACACATACTTTCACGGATTATTGACCGTATTAAGCTTTGTGGAGCATTTGAACTAGACGCGTGTGGTCAAAATGAATCGGAGTCTTCGAGTATTCCTGGTATATTTCAAAATCTTGTAGATTTCGTCTCCTCCCCTGATGCAGTTTTGAAAGAGCAACCAGATAATTCCACTGTGGTTAATGGCATGTCCAGAACCTTTCAAAACGAACTGCTGGACTGCATGCTTTCAGTTACAAGGGATGAAATTCTAAGTCAAATAAAGGACTGTGGCTTCATTTCCATACAGGTAGATGAGACCAGAGACATGTCCAACCAGTCTCACCTTGTTCTTGTGCTACGTTACGTGGACAAAACACACCAAGTCTATGAACGTTTTTATTCTTTCATCCCATTGCAAAATGCCACCGCTGAGTCCATCGCAGTAGCACTGGAGGAGCAGCTCACAACCGTCCTCCCAGAAAATCAGAAAGACAAACTCATCTCCCAGTCGTACGATGGAGCCCATGTGCTGGGGGTTCATGGGAGAATACAAAAGCAGTACCCTAACGCACACTACATCCACTGCTACACTCACCAACTCAGTTCAATCACCAGACAAGCCACCGCGTACATTCCAAAAGCCTGCGTATTCTTTTCTGACCTTGATCGATTTGAACTCTTTTTTGCCACTTCTCCTGAGTGCACCTGTGTCCTTACTGAATTGGTGCTCCAAAGGTTGCAGACGTCCGACCGCATCCGATGGGATTTTCCGGCCGTCAACACTGTGTTTGAGCATAAGCAGGACCTGATTCAGTGCTTTGAGAAGATAAAAGACTCTGAGGACTTTGACGCAGCCACAAAGCAAGAGGCAGCAGCAATGTTAATACTGCTAGAAAACCCAGATTTTATATTTTTTCTGGAACTGTTTCACCAAATTCTGCCTTTTGTGGATGCTCTAAACACTAAGCTCCAGAAGAAGGACATAGACTGCGTCTACGTCAAATCTAGCATCGATCAGTTTCAAGAGGACTTAGAAAAAATCAGGTAATTGATACTAGCTGATGTTATCAACATTCCTTGAGCGAGTGAAGCTAACTAGAGGCACTGCTTTGTCTGAAGCTCTGTCACTCAGGTTTTTAGTCTGAGCTTTGTTTTAACACAATCTGACCGCAAAGAACTGGCTTAGCTGGAACTACAACAAGTGAGCTGATTTATGCTGTTAAATAAGTCAGTCTCAATGATCACAAGATAACTCGCATTAGCCAACCGTGTTCCAGTCACTCTCACCTTTTTGTTGAAACTCAAACAAGTCCATGAACTCTCATATAGATCACAGGTGCCTGAAAATGTGTTTAAGTCAATATTGTATTTTTTTTCCTTAAGTTTTAAGACAAATGTATTTGGTAGTGTGTCCATAGACATACATACGGTACCCCCCAGTGTTCACGTGACATCGCATCATTGTGAGTCCCTATAGTTTACACCAGGGGTCTCCAGTCTTTTTCTTCTGTTGTGCTCCCTTTACAAAACGAAAATACCAGAGAGCTACTCATATTAGTGATCACAAGTAATTGAGTAAATAAAAGAGCCACGGCCTTAGATGGGGTACAATTAGATACCTATAAAATATAATCCATTTATTAGCTCACAGAGATAGGAATCAAAATGACTTCTCTAACTGCTTCAGAAAGTGGTGCCATTATTCAACCACAAAGTCGTGATTGTTGTCAGTTCAATGGATGTTTGTTGACCTTATCAGAGAAATAATGATGAGGTTCAATGTTTGTGGATAACTAGTTTGGATATTGAACCTTCCTATAAAGTTATATAGTCCCCCTGCCTTCCATCTGAAATGACGTCATCATTAAATTCCTGAACGTGACCTGTTTTCCTTTTCTGTCTTGTTATTATTCATGCTGATCTATTTACCCTATTGCCTTGGACCTTCTCAGGGACTCTGATCATTCCATTGCTGAGGAGCAGACCGGTGGAGAGCGGCCAAACAAGAGGCTTCGACTGGCTGATCCAGAGGAGAATGGCAGGGTTGGAGAAGAGGCGAGTACATGCATTTGTTCAACATATAGTGTGTTGTAAATGTCTTTAGTTGCTTTAAAAAAAACACATTATTTTTGTTTAGCCCAATAATAATTAATAAAAAATAATAAATAATTAATGCATTAGTCTTATATAATACTTTTCCAGACAAGCAGATTTTCTGAACCAACTACAGTCATAGATTATTTTACAATTTCAGCCAAAAGATCATCTAAACCAATATTTGGAAGCCGATATCTGATACCAGTATTGGATTGGTACATCTGTTTGTGGAAAATAGTAAAAACGGGCCGTTAGAGTACATATGGGCAGAGCTCATCGGCCGTCGGTTTCTCTGGATTTTAAACTATCGGTATCTGTATCGGCATCTCTAGAGTCTGAACTGTATGATTCTGTTTGACTCGATTTTCTTTTGTTGTTTTTGTTTGTTGTTTTTTTACAGCTGAATATTCAACCGCAGAAAACGTCCAAGTACCAGAGGCAGCTGGAAAAGAGTTACAGAATAAAGGTAAAGTTATATAAACACTGCTGGCTTTCAAACAACACCACAGCATTCTATAGGCCAATAATATTTAACACAACAAAAAGAATCACCATCTTATCACCAGAATGTGCAGGAAAAAGCTTCATTATAAAGTTCTCTTTTTCAATGATGTTTTCAGTTATGGTGATGCACATGACTATAAAAGTTAAAAAATGCATAGCACAATGTACTTTTTTTATTTCTAAATAACATTTCAGCGAAAAAAGCCTTCGTCAGATATTTTTCTTGCTTTGGACTGCAGTACAGAAAATGGTCACCAGCCCAGGTGCTCATATCCCCCTCCAACTCACCCAGTGATTTCAGCCCATTCTATGACAAGAAAAAACAGTTTAGATATTTACCTTAAAAAAAAAACATACTGTTAAATACAGAATTAGTTTAACCATATCACAAAAAACATCTTAGGTCAAACTACATTCAGTCCAGGAGGAGCAAGAGTCTTAAATTGGTAAATCCAGACGTGTTCTCTTTTTGACAGGAGTATTTCCAGATTCCCACCTGTAGAGGAAGCACACTACTATAACAGCTGTTTAAGTATGAAACTTATTTATTATAATATTAGAATTATAATTACTGTAATGCGGTTAAAAAAAACGCAAAAAATGAGTAATGAAGAAGAAAAAACATATACAAGTTGCACTTTGGGGGAAATTTATTTGTTAAAATTAGAGACCATGAACCGACATTTCCTGTGTAAAGTCAAGTTCTAGTAATAACAATAGAAGAGAGAACAACAGACTGTTAATGTCACATATGAACAGTTCTTCAGATAAATATAACATAAACAACAGAACAGAACAAGTTTCCAAACTCTCCATCTCACTCCAAATCACTAAATCCACTCAATTCTTCATCCTCGGTGTCACAAGTGTGAGAAACTCGTCCTCGATCTCCGGAGGTAAACAGAGCGTCACTTCCTCTTCTGTGTCGCTGTCGTCAGACTCAGCATCAGTTCCAGTTAGAATTATTCGGGTCTTTCTGAATCCCAACAGGATGGTTTCAGTTTCACTGAAGTCCAGGCTTTGTCCATCCATCCAGTGACTTCAGGAAAGTTTCATGGTGCATCCTCCTGATGTCACAAGTTTCTGTCTCACTCCAAACTTTCTTTCTGCTGCTAGATTACCGTTTTCAGCTGCAGATTTCACGACTCACAGTTTGTAATCTGTAAAATATGATTTTGTTTTTGGGGACATTGGTGTTCAGTTTTCTCAGTCGTCTTTATAAGTTTGTTTAAATGTTAAATTTTCAGTGGTGCAGAATAGGGACGGCCATTCGATTAAATTTTTTTAATCGATCGTTGGCAGAATTATCAATCAATTATCGATTAATCATTAATGTTTTTATATTAAAATTATCATCATTATTATTACTATGCACTACTAATCTGCATAAATAAATTCAACTTTGCTACATATAAACTGTAACGACTCTAGAGCCACATCAGCCTTTTTGACATTAGAATGTGTTTAATGCAGATTTGTGCAACTCTTATAGAAACAAAACTTAAAACCACATGACTAATTTGCATAAACTAAGCGAAAAAAAAAAAAAAAAACAGTTCTTGTGCACTGATACGGCATGACTCAGGTGAATACAGGTTAGTGTGACCATATTTGCGTTTGTCAAAACCAGGACACCGTACAGGGGGTGGGAGGTGGGAGGTGGGGCCTCGTCATCGACATTGAGCTTCTCTCACCTGGCAAAGCTTTTTCATGTTTTCTGTGTCCTGGTGAGCTTTTTCCCACTGGACACCAAAACATATATGCCTGTTTTGTACACTGTGCACATGGCCTCCCACTTGTCCAGAATGGAAAGCGTGGAATTTCTTGTACAAGTCATCATTAAATACGCATTGGCGCTTCGGCACGTTGCAGACTGACCGACTGTTTGTGTCTCGCTCCTTCTGAGTCACAGAGAGCTACATGTTCGGACCCCCGTTTGGTCACCCTATGCTACACAAAGCAGCTTACATTCGGTTTGTCGATTAAAATGAACGTAATCGATTCAATTCTTAATGATCAATTATCGATTAATCGACTAATCATGCCCATCCCTAGTACAGAAGTAATGGTGCAATCGACTGACATGATACAGACAGGACAGACTCTTTCTGGAGGAGACATGTGCAGTAGAGTGAAGTGACAGTGGTACAGGAGGAACAGGAGCAGCAGATACTCACACACAAGACTAGAACCTCTCGAGGCTGTCAGGGTGAAAATTTTAACAACAAAATAATATTATAGCAGTAATTCAGTTTTTCATATTAAACAAAAAAAAAGTGCTACCCCTGTAGTTTAGATCAGGGCAAAAACTGTTCTGAAATGTGATTCTTGTCACTTTATGTTAGTCTTTTTGTCAGTTTTTCTGGACATGTTTAAATGATTATCTTTGAACCAGTGTCCTATTATTGAAACTAAACTACTTAAAATTAAAATCATATTATTTTCATTCAGGCTTTAAATTAGAATGTTTCACAATGTCTTTAATGGAGTATTTTTCTGTTTGTTTTAGATTTGTGACTCCATTATAAAGCACACCACACAGCGCTTTTCCTTCACGTCCCACCTCATCGCCACGACCCTGCTTCAGTCGGACAGGTTTGAAGAACACCACAGATCTCTACCGGAGCAGGCTCTGAACTCCATCTTAAAGGCCTTCCCCACCCTCAACGCCACCAGACTGAAGATCGAGCTCGGTGTCATCTACAGCAAAGAGGAGCTGAGAGAGTGCAGAGGAGCCATGGACCTCCTGCACGTCTTCACCCAGAACGATTTATTAGACGTTTTTCCGGAAACTGTCGAACTGTTGAAAATGGTGATCACGATGCCCATGACCACTGCGGAGGCGGAGAGGCGCTGCTCCGCTTTGAAAAGGGTCAAATCGTTCCTCACAAACTCCACCAACCAGGACGGACTGAACGCGCTGGCGATGCTGTCCGTGGAAAACCAGCTGATAACCGACATGTGGGATTTTAATCACAGGGTCATTGAGAAATTCGCTGCGCAGAAGGACAGAAGTGAAAAGTTCATGTACAAGTAGAGCGGAGATTACTCAAATTTTGAAATATTAAAGAATCTTTACCTGATTTATTTTTATTCTTAGATGCTGTTCATCATGCATTGTGTGGTGAAATCTGCTAAATAAAAAAACAATGGGCCCTTTCCACGCTGTCACCTGGTTAGTTCTGGTTCTCTAAAAATGGGCAGATTCCCACTTCCCGTTTCATTCATTCTCTGAGATTTTAGCCAAGTCTTCAGTAGCTCAGTTGGTGGAGCGTTTCTTGACTTATCTGAAAGGTTGGAGGTTTGAATCCCACTCTCGACGTAAACATCGTAACATCATTGGTTGAGGGGTCAGATCCACACGTTGGCTGGTGTGATATCAGTTCTCACAGATGAATGGTGTGGAGTCCTTGGGCAAGACACTTACCGTATTTTCCGGGCTATTAGACGCACTCTTAATCCTCTAACCACATCAAAAAACGACTGCGCGCCCCGCAATCCAGAGCACGAAGATACACGAATCCACTCAGGTGTCCCAGCTTGACTTCAGTGAACTACAAAGCCGCACCACCCACAGAACACACAAACACACACAGAGCAGACAGCGACCGCACAGCGAAACACACCCACAGACACACTCATCACTCCACGCCGACGAGGAACGGAACGGAAGAACGAACCGAAAAGCGAGTGCAATGTGCCACTTCTAGACACGACTGAACAACTGAGTCACTGCGAACACACCGACAATCCGTTGGTCCCAGACACACCCTCCCTACACGCCACAACTGAACAAAGCCCAGAGTCACCGTGAACACCACAAACAAACAAAACCACTCACCCATCACACTGTTGGGTTTCCTTTAAAGTCCAGTGTGGTTTATTTGTGAAAAAAGTTTGAAAATAGACCATTTAATGACAGTGCGTTTTATAATCCAGAGCGTCTAATAACCCGGAAAATACAGTAATCCACCTCGCCCACCTTCCTTGTTGTGAAGCACTTTGAAGGTTGAAAAGGCCAGTATAAAAATCTGACTATTTACCAAGTCTCGTTAATATAAATGGGTCAGAGGTGAGATGTTTTCTCTTGTGAATTAGTTAAACATTTCCTCACACTTTTTCATTTATGTTTCATCATTTTTCATTGTAGATTCTCACTAAAGGTATCAAAACTGTGGAAAAATGTAGAAATAGCCACCCTTTGAGGAACTGAAGATAAAATTAAAGTAATATTTAGTTATTTTATCAAAACTCCGCTAAATTCTCATAGAAAATTAACAGAGCGTCCTTTTTGAGAGAACCGAAACTCTCCAGACAGCTGAAAAGGGCCCATTGAAAATAAAGTGTAATCTATTCATTTAACGTAGCACTTTCTTGGGTAATAATTAAATCTAACTAAAGTTCAAACTAAAACTCGTGACTCAGAAAACAGGACCAGGCCCTTAAATATTGTTTATAAAGAGATTTTGTTTTATATAATTGAAATACACTAACAGTTGACATGGACATGTTGACAATAAAACTTTATACACATTTGGAACTGTTTGATTTAAATAAAAACTGTCCTTGTGCTCAGTCTCCCCAACACCTGCTCACAGGTCACATGATCTCCTGCCCTGCATGAAGTCACAGTTCTTCATATTGGAAAAAATGAGGGTAGCACCATAAGGCGTGTAGCAAAGCACCACTGGCATTTTCACCTAGAGATGGTATATCGGTTATCGGTAATATCAAAGGATGTCCACAGATATCAGCCTAATATTGCAAATGTAGTCGATATTTGGCACAGATCTTTTTTCCAGTTTTGTGTCCATGTGTCAGTCCCAGCTTGTCCTCAGTACATCAGATGTGTCTTTCTGAACAAACAAAATATGATTTTATATCCCAGATAAATACATTGCGATTTTTATAAGTTAATTTGTGAACTTCACTCTAACTTAGCACAAATTACTACCATAGAATAGATTTTAAAAGCTTAATGTCAGTATCGGCAAATATTGGTTATCGCCACAGCAGCAAGACAAATATTGGATATTTTATCAGCTCAAATAATCCATATAGGACTGTCCCTATTTCTATAAAGATCATTTCTGCTAATATCCATTTCATGGAGTCTTGAAGGGGTCTAATAAAGACTTTTGTATAAAATAAATAAACTCAAGGTTTCTCTGACAAACCCCCATGTGGCATCTTCATATGTACAACTGAGATCTCTCTCCCAGAATGTTTTAAAAGCACAGAATCAGGTAACATTTATATTTTAAATATCATAAACATGGCCTATCTCTGTCCCTAGATATGGGGTAAACATGTTCAAATGAAATACAGCTTTTATTGACAACAATAAATCAGAGTTAGAATTGTTCATTACAAAAACATTGGACATAACGAGTTGTTTGTTATGATTTTGTGTTTTTTGTTTGGATGTTTATCCAATCAGAAAGCAGAATGAGCATTATTTGGGTTGCCATTTTCAATGCTGAAATTCAATTAGTTTAAACCTAAAATGCCCTCTCCTAAACCCTAGCACCTGCAGTCAATTCTGAGTCAGAGCTAATGCAGCCTCTGCAGCTCAGGGAGGGAATTCTGGAGATTCTGAGCCTTCACATGAAGCCTGTCCATACACTGAGAATGAGACAAACATGACTCCCCCAGATCTCTTAAACTTTCTCTCATTTTTAGACATTTCAAAAGTTTTTACCTTTCCGTAAACACTGAGCCCAATATCTCATCTGTTCACCTCTTTGGGTTGTAGTGTTATTGTTCCTCTCATTCTACTCTTTGAGATGCTCAGTCTAGTGTCGTCTCAGATCAGATTTATTTATGGATTGTTCTATGTCGATTTAGATTACACTTTCGGGCAAATGTTTTATTACAGATTGAACAGCTGAAGGGTTTCTCCCCCGTGTGCAGCACCATATGGCGTTTCAGTGCAAAGGGCTGGGGGAATTCTTTCTTACATATGGAACAGCTGAATGGTTTTTCACCTGTATGCGTTCTGCTGTGAGCGTTTAAAGTACCCAGGTGGGAAAATGTTTTGTTACAAGTTGAACAGCTGTAAGGTTTCTCTCCTGTGTGCTTTCTTGTATGTGAAAGTAGATTAGATTTACAGGAAAATGTCTTATTACAGGTTGAACAACTGAATGGTTTTTCGCCTGTATGTGTTTTTCTATGAGTATTCAGAGACCCAATGTATGAAAATGTTTTGTCACAGTCTGAACAGCTGTAAGGTCTCTCTCCAGTGTGTGATCGTTCATGTGCACATAGATCAGACTTTGTGGAAAATGCATTATTGCAGGTTGTACAGCTGTAAGGTTTCTCTCCTGTGTGCGTTCTTATATGAACATGTAGATTAAACTTGGTGGAAAAAGTTTTATCACAGGTTGAACAGCTGAATGGTTTCTCCCCAGTGTGCTGATTCATGTGGCGTTTCAGTCCAGTGACTTCACTAAATTCTTTCTTACAGATGGAACAGCTGAATGGTTTTTCACCTGTGTGTGTTCTTTTGTGAGCTTTCAGAGCACCCACCTGCGTAAATGTTTTGTTACAGTCTGAGCAGCTGTAAGGTTTCTCTCCTGTGTGCGTTCTTATATGAACACGGAGCTGAGACTTGGTGGTAAATGTCTTATTGCAGGTTGGACAGCTGTAAGGTCTCTCTCCTGTGTGGATTCTAATGTGTCTAAGTAAACTCTGTTTCGTCCCTTTTATTCCCTTTTTACAAAAAGGGCATTGGTGTGTCTTGCTTTCAGCTCCTTCGGCTGTTCCTGACTTGTCTCCATTGTTCACAGTGGCATTGGTCTCTGGAGCAGACTTGTGTTTGGAGGATAGACCTGAGTTTTGTGTTGCTGGGCCTTGGTTATTGTGGTCTTCACTATCTGAACAGCTGAATGGAGCTCTCCAGTCTTCATCATTGTCATTGTCAGAGGAGTGTTCTGTGTCCCCCTCAGTCTCTGTGTGTAACTGTGGTTCTGTGCTGATGTCCACTCCTTTTGTCTCCTCTTTGGGCTCAGTTTGTTCTTCTGACTTCACAGAAACTGTGAAATACTCTGGGACACACCTGAAAACATTAAAACAGGATCAGGTAAATCTTTGGGACCACATTTCAAGTCCTACAAGTCTTTACACAAGACAAAAGTCCTGGTCACAGATAAAGAACAGGAGATGGACATTTTTCACTGAAAAGTATCAATTGTTGAGGAAGGTTTTCTAAACCCCTTTTTTTTTTCTTTTTTTTTTTTTTTGAGGAGAAACATAAAGTCATCTTAAGTCACAGGGCTCAAGTCCAAGTCGAGTCCTGAGTCTTGTTTGCTTAAGGAGTTGGTCCCTGTTTGACCCCAGGAGGGTTTGGAATCTGACCATAGAATGTGAAAAACCTTGGCCCAGACTTGGTAACATACAGCTGCTCATTTGTATCACGAGTCTCCCAAATGCAGAAGACATCTCCCCAAAACTCTGTATCATTCAGAAAAAAAACAAAAAAACTTTTTTTTTTTACCTGAAATAAACTTCCTTACCTTCAATAGAAATGTTAATGTTAGGTCTGCATCACAATGCAACATGACGTTATTAAGGCTATAGTGGTATTTTTATTTTAATGTGTAATAAAAAGTCCTGCCTATGATCTTTTGGGTCAGTTCAGCAGGAGGCCTGAGGGTCACTAATAACTGATCTGAGGGGCCGCCTCTGGCCCCTGAGCCAAGTTTGGACACCTCAGCTTTAAATGGCGGAGCTTACACTGGCAGCGGCTCTTCCTCCTGTTTCACGCCCTGTTCCTCTGGCTCCTCTTTAATCTGTAAAGTATCTGGGATTTCCTGCTTCACAGCCTGGATCAGACCCTGGTTCGGACAATGGTCCAGACCGGGCCCAGGATTCCATGAGGGACTCGTCTGAACACCCGCCTGGAGCAGCACGGTTGTCCTCTGGTCCTCCTGTTTGGGGCGGCTCAGGTCCTCCTCAGACTCCGCTGCAGTCCGCCTCTCCTCCATCTCCGCTGTCTGCGCTTGGTTTTTGGACATTTTCTAAACCTTTTTGGCGTTAGCTCCGAGCTGAGCACAAAGAGCGTCCCGAAACAGGAGCCACTGCACGAGCCCAGAGACACGGCTTCTCTGCTCTCATTGGTCAGTCACAAACTTCTCCGTGCTCCCATTGGCTGAGAGTGGAGTGGGCGGGATATGTTTCCGGAAGTGTCTGCTTGTGTTGTGATTGTGTTACAGATCCATGTTGTTACGAGTTCGTCTCACTTTTCTCCTTTTATAAAAGGACCTGGAGTTTTATAGATTTAATTTCACACGGAGAGACAAAGTGAGGACGTGCGTGTTCCGGAGGACGGTACGTGCGCTTCTGTGTTCGCTTCTTTTGGACATAAGTGCTGGAGTTAGCTCCGTTAGCTCCACTTTGTGAACAAAGAACAGGTCAGAGATCGTAAATAGTTTTAAAGGTGCGCCACATTCACCTGGTAATTGATGAATTTCGTTTTTCCAAAAGCCTGGAATAATCACACGAGAAGAGAACGCATGGTCATACTCATATCCACGTCATTTAGAGTCTCTTTTATGTTTTATTGTCTGATTTGAGAAAAAGAGAATTTACCTGTTTCTAAACCAGAGCTCCAGCTTTTACGAGGGGACTTGGACTGGATTTAGATGTGAAAATATCTGAAATGAAATGGTATTTGAACAAAGATGTTTTTACATATTTAACCATTTATGAGACTTCTAGATGCCAATCTCCCTAAAACAAACATGTCAGTGTTCTGCTCTGAAACTTGCTCTGAAACACATGTATGTGAGTTCGAGGGCACTTGGGCTGTGAGACAAATCTTATGGGGCACTCTGGACAAAAAGTTTGGAAACACAAACTGTCCATTTGTTTCTTAAAGAATAACATCTGGTGCTCCTGCTGCAGAAGTGGAAAGTACTCTGTTACATTTACATACTTTTACTCTGCTTGAGTTTTCTATTGTACAGTGTAGCAGTACTCTTACTCGAGTAAATGTTTTCATTACTCATCCAACTGAGTAAGTTTACAAGTGACAAAAAATAAAGGTATGTTTGTAACTAGAGTTCTATGAATCCCTGAATCCAGGGAGGGGGGGTGAAACGTTTCACCATGTCTATGGTGACACAATGCCCGTGTTGACAAACACAACCTGAGACAAAATACTAGTTTGTCTGTGATAATATGAGTGTTCATTGTGCTGTTTAGGAGTTAGATTTTCAGCACAGGGACTTGTTTAACAGCACAAATCATCTCACCTGTAGCTCCAGCTGAGTCACTTATTTAGGGTGAGATTGTGTTTAAGAGTGAGACAGAGCGATGCCTCCAGTTAGCTCTCCAGTAATTACCACAATAACAAGACCCAGCCCACAGTCTTAACAGCCCACACTGAATTTAATAATGTGAATGTCCAATATCATGAAGTGCAGTCCAGTGGGGCAGCTAAAGAGAAGTAAATATGAGTACATGTGCCTCTACATAGGCCTGTTCATACATACATTTGTGTTTTTCTCAGATTTTTGTGTTTAAAGTGAGACTAAACAACTAAACTCCTCCCACTTAAAGACTAGAACAGACCTGGAGGACTGAAGGAACGTGGCTCCATTTGAACTGGGTTAAATGTGCTGAGGAAGTTCTTTTCCTTCTCACTGCCATGACGAGGACTGTCTGAACTGTTCAGTGAAGTGAGGAAGGAGTAAGGAAAGGAGACATTATCTGTCCTTTCATAGCCCCTTTAGCATAGGAAGCTCGGTAGGTTCCTAACCAGCGGTAAGGACCAAGGAGGTATCCCACAGTCCACTGCACAGATCAAACCAAACCTTTCCAAATACTATTGGACCAGTTACTCACTACAGCACTTTATGAATTTAAATCTTCTGCTTAAACTCAACTTTACAACAGATAAACCATAATCACTCTAGAACCACATCAACCCGTTTGACATTATAATGTGTTTAATTCAGCTTTGACACATTTGTTTACGTTTTACAAAAACTATACTTAAAACCTCATGGTTCATTTGCATAAACTGATCGCTCTGATAAAAACAGCTCTTTCCTTGTGCGCTGATGCAGTTCAGCTTCTATCAGACTAAAGAACACGACTCAGTGGAATATGAGTGTTCTCTCTGTGACAGAGGATGTGCTGATGATGGTGAGTCTGTTCTCTGTGTGTGTCACATTAGAGATGGTTCATGTTCATGTTCACTTCTCAGAGATCGTTGTGTGCAGGTCGTACGAGTGCAGGTCTTTATTTATGTCCACTACTGTTGTGATGAAAAGACTGAAAAGTTGAAATAATTATCATTAGACCATTGTCCGTTTTCTGGGAGTTGTAGTTTGGACTAGGGATGGGCATTTGATGAAATTTTCTTAATCGATCGTCAGAAGAATTAACGATCGATTATCGATTAATCATTAACGTTTTTATATTAAAATTATCATCATTATTATTACTATCTGCACTACTAATCTGCATAAATAAATTAAAATTTACGACATATAAACCGTAACGACTCTAGAGCCACATCAGCCCGTTTGACATTATAATGTGTTTAATTCAGTTTTGCTCAACTCTCACAGAAACGAAACTTAAAACTGCATCACTAATTTGCATAAACTAAGCGAAGATTTAAAAAAAAAACAGCTCTTGTGTCGCTGATGCCGTCAATTTCTGTCAGATTAAAAGACATGACTCAGTGGAATACAAGTTAGTGTGACCATATTTGCGTTTGTTAAAACCAGGACAGCGTACGGGGGGAGGGAGGTGGGGACTCGTCATCGACATTGCGCGACTCTCACCTGGCAAAACTTTTTCCCACTGGACACCGAAACATATGTGCTGCTTTGTACACTGTGCACATGGACTCACACTTGTCCCGAACGCAACGGAAAGCGTAGAATTTCTTGTACAAGTCATAGATAAATACGCATTTGTGCTTCGGTACGTTGCAGACTGACCGACTGTTTGTGTCTCGTTCCTTCTGATGCAGAGACACATGTACAGACCCCTGTTTGGTCACACTACACACAGCAACCTACATTCGGTTTGTCTATGAAAATTAACGTAATCGATGAAATTCTTAATGATCAATTATCGATTAATCGACTAATCATGCCCATCCCTAGTTTGGACTGGTGGTTTGGAGAATCCATCCTTCTCCTTGGTGTAGTTGACCTCACGTAGCTCTCAGAGGTCAATGATAAGAACAATGAAGGAGGTATTTTTGCCCAATTTCAGATGTAGTCAGAGTGAGGGTGGAGGAGGGACAGGCTCTGGAGGACTGTGTGACATTTCAAACCACCCCTCCTGTAATCAGACCAGTCCTGTGTGATGTCACCAACTACTGTAAATTACCACTGAAGGCAGCACAAACTTTTCCACACAAAAAAACACACAGTCATGAAAGTCATGAAGTTAGATTTATGTGTACAAATATAACAATAACAATCATATATATTTATTTCCAGTCTGTAGGTGTCCATGGCCTCCCCAAAGAAGAGGATACTGCGTGAAGTGGAGTCCTCATCGAGTCCTGGGCCAGGTCTGAACCAAGGTCTGAACCAACGTGTGAAGCAGGAAATCCCAGAGACGTCACAGGTTAAAGAGGAGCCAGAGGAGCCAGAGGAGCCGAGCGTCAAACAGGAGGAAGAGCCACTGCCAGTGTAAGTGCCGCCATTTAAACTCATAGGGTCTCATTTCTGAATCTTTTATGTTGCACAAGCTCAGAAAAAAGTGCTCTGGTTATGGGGGTGATGAGGGTGAGGGGGGTGAGGGGGGTGATGTTGGTGTTGAGTCCACAGTGATGACCAGGCTCAGGGCTGTGACAGAGGTCCATATGGAGGCACTGGGGCTGGGACGGACTGAGGTTCACTGCAGCCTGGAGAAAGTCTGTTAGACCCAATAGACACATGTTCTATAACACTCCTCATAAATGTGAATATAGTAATATTTTTATAGGAAATAATTAAAGAAAATACATAACTTACAATCATGGAGGAATTAGAAATTTTAATTGCATTATCAGAGTAATAATATTCTTAAACAACAGAATTTTTGTTCTTATGAGTGCTTCTGACTTGTTCTTCCAGAAGAATATTTTCAGTGATGAAAACATTTTGTGAATGGTAAAAGTGTTGGCTTGAAGTACAAATGTTTTTATATGAACACTTCATGAATGAGCCTCATAGTTTAGTAACTGATCATATTGGATTGACCTGATCCTGTTTTAATGTTTCCAGGTATGTCCCAGAGTATTTTACTGTGATTGTGAAGACAGAAGAACAAACTGAGCCCAAAGAGGAGACACAAGGAGAGGACATCAGCACAGAATCACATTTCCACACAGAGACTGAGGGGGACACAGAGCACTCCTCTGACAATGACAACGACAATAACAATGACAAGGATGAAGACTGGAGAGCTCCATTCAGCTGTTCAGATGAAGACCACACCAACAAAGACCAAGCAACACAAAACTCAGGTCTATCCTCCAAACATAAGTCTGCACCAGAGACCAGTGCCACTGTGAACAATGGAGACAAGTCAGGAACAGCTGAAGGAGCTAAAGGGACACATCAGTGCCCTTTTTGTGCAAAGATGATTAAAGGAACTAAACAGAATTTACAAAGACACGTTAGAATTCACACAGGAGAGAGACCTTTCAGCTGTTCAATCTGTAATAAGACCTTTTGTCATCAGGGTAATCTAATTTCTCACAAAAGAACACATTCTGGTGAAAAACCTTTCAGCTGTCCAACCTGTAACAAAACATTTTTAAAGAAATCTGATTTAACTGTACATATAAGAACACACACAGGAGAGAGACCTTACAGCTGTTCAGACTGTGACAAAACATTTTCCCATGTTGGTTCTCTAATTGCTCACAGAAGAACACACACGGGCGAAAAACCATTCAGCTGCTCAGTCTGTCAGAAAGAATTCCCCAACCTCACAGGACTGAACTGCCATATGAGACTGCACACTGGTGAAAAACCTTTCAGCTGTTCAACCTGCAATAAGACATTTACCACCAACTCTCAGCTGCGTGCACACACAAGAATGCACACAGGAGAAAAACCTTACAGCTGTTCAGTCTGTAACAAAACCTTTTCCCAGACAAGTTCTCTAAACGTTCACAAAAGAACACATTCAGGCGAAAAAACATTCAGCTGTTCCATCTGCGAGAGAGAGTTTACCCAGTCCTCTTCGCTGAAACGCCACATGGTGCTGCACACGGGGGAGAAACCATTCAGTTGTTCCATCTGTAATAAGGCATTTTCACAGAAGAGTAACTTAAATCAACATAAAGAAATCCACAAGTCTCTTATCTCAGAGGACATGTGAACAGGATTGGAACAAGAACGCAAATATCGTGACATTGTATCGTCAAACTCTCACAATAATATCGAGGGCTGGCACTATGTCTCAAATGATTGTGTCAGCCAACGATCTAAAAGCAGACGTATTGTGCTTGTGTGTGCTCTATAGTTATAATCTATGACACCTGTGGATCACCGTGTTATAATTTGAACATTTGAAATCTCAGTATATTCATCTAAAATAACTTGTTAAAAGAAACATGTCCACTGAGTTCCGTGTTCTAAAACTGCAGTGCCCAGTGGGAGCTGACGTCTATGGAAGATCATTTGTTTCATCAGATTTTGAATTTGAATTTGATGCTGTTGAATTTCTCACTTTGAATTTTTAAACGCTGAAATAAACATTTTAATAATTTGTGCTACGAATTTTAGTTGCTGAAATTTTTAGGGTACATTTAAAATTTTCAAGCCCAGAGTTCAGAGTATAAAATTCGCAGTGAAAAAAATATCTGAAGTGATCCAATCAAATTTAGTAACAAACAGGAAATGGTGCAGAGACGAGTTTTTGATAAGTGTAAACTCCGCCCACAGATGAGAACGGCCAGTAGGAAACAGCCTCTGTCCTCCTCACTCACAGGATCAATGCTTCTTGACTTGACTTCAACTTGGATCTTTGTTGTGAAATTTTTCACTGCAAATTTTACACTCTGAATTTTGACTGTTGAATTTGAGGAAATGAAAATATCTATGCTAAATATTGAAAAGGTGTTTTTTTTTTCCTTTTTTTTTTTTTATTTGAAAAAATATTGAAAAAGTGTACTTAAAATTGCAACAAGTAAATACATTTTTGAATAAAAATAATTCAAACATCTTTTTTCAGAGTAAAAAATTCAAAGTGAGAACAAATGATCTTCCATAGACGTTGCTGTAAACGTCATTACAACAAGGAGTTGAGGCTCTTATGGATATCTGCGGATCAACAAGTGAGCAGCTGATTTTTTTTGTCCCAAAATGACAGTAATGATTTTCATCCATAGTCTTGCCAAGGCATTTGAAAAGAAAAAGAAGCACACTTACAATTAATTGTGTTAATATCTTTAAAATGAGATGCACATGATGATGTGGATATTGTTACATCCCTTCACATGAACACAAACCATTCAGCTGTTTAAATGACTAAACATGTATTATTTTTATTTAGAATATAAAGAATTTTATGCTCAAGAGAAAGGAGGAGTGGATCCTGTGTTGAATCTTTTTACAAATAAATACACCTTTTCCTGGTCATTTTCAGTATAAATATTTGTTTTTGCATGAACTCACATGCAGTTGTATTTTAAGTTCAGTAACATGACCAGATCATAAAGACAAGAGATCATGAGGGCTTTTGCCATGCCCCCTTAAGGTGATTTTTAAAATTTGATGACAGCCCAAGTAACCCGAGCGTTGTGTTGTATCTAAACCAATGCACATGTGCCTTCTCTGTGTCATTATTCATGAGTTATCAAAAAGAAACAGTCTGTAAAAGTGACCAGCTCTGTGACAATAAAAACATGTTAAACTCAAATGAGCTGTTATTTTGCTCACATTAGTGTCACAATACTACAATTTCAAACTCAGCACTGATTCTGATACATGATGATAATAATAATAATAAAATGTAATTTTCATTTGTGTGTGTGTGTGTGTGTTTAGTTTGTTTTTGTTATTTATTTCACATGGGCACTAGATAGTGACAGTAAACTTCTGCAGAGTTCAGGCTGTTTTCCATCTACAGCCTCTTTAGAATATTCTAACATGGTTACGGTGCAATTTATTGACTAAAAGGCTGTCATCTAAAGACTCACAGGAGATCTCACACCATTCAGCTGTTCCACCTGCAATAAACAATGTTCCCATGTGAGAAATACCATATGGGACTGCACACACCATTCAGCTGTTCAACCTGCAACAAAACATTTTGCCACAAGAGAAATCTAAGATGACGTCTCTCTCTGTGTTCCCCTTTCTCTGTCTCTCTCTCCTCTTTGTGTCTCTCTCTCTCTTTCTCTCTCTTTGCGTGTGTGTCTCTCTCTTTCTCTATATCTCTCTCTGTCTCTCTCTCTCTCCTTCTTTCTGTGTATCTCTCTCTGTTTCTCTGTGTGTGTCTCTCTTTCTGTGTGTGTGTCTCTCTCTGTCCCCTTTCTTTCTCTTTCATTCTTGCTCCCTTTCTCTCTCTCTCTCTCTCTCTCTCTCTCTCTCTGTCACTCTTTCTGTCTCTCTCTCTCTCTCTCTCTGTCTCTCTCTCTCTCTCTCTCTCTCTGTCACTCTTTCTGTCTCTCTCTCTCTCTCTCTGTCCCTCTTCCTCTCTCTCTCTCTCTATGCCCCTCTTTCTTTCTCCCTCCTCTCTCTTTTTCTCTGTCTCTCTCTGTCCCTCTCTCTCTCTGTGTCTCTCTTTTGGTGTGTGTGTCTCTTTCTGTGTCCCTCTTTCTCTCTCTCTATGTCCCCTTTTCTTTCTCTTTCATTCTTGCTCCCTTTCTCTCTCTCTGTCACTCTTTCTGTGTGTCTCTCTCTCTCTCTCTGTCCTTCTTCCTCTCTCTCTTTCTCTCTGTGTATCTCTCTCTCTTTCTGTGTGTGTGTCCCTCTCTCTCTGTCCCTTTTTCTCTCTGTCTCCCTCTATGTTCCCCTTTCTCTGACTCTCTCTCCTTCTCTCTGTGCATCACTCTCTCTTTCTGTGTTTGTGTATGTCTCTCTCTCTGTCCCTCTTTTTTGTCTCTATATCTCTGTGTCTCTCTTTCTGTTCTCTCTCTCTCTCTTTCTTTCTCTGTCTTTCTCTGTCTCTCCCTCTCTCTGTCTCTCTTTCTCCTTCTCTCTGTGTCTTTCTCTCTTTCTCTGTGTGTGTCTCTCTCTGTCCGTCTTTCTCTCTCTATGTTTCCCTTTCGCTGTCTGTCTCTGTCTGTCTCTCTGTCCTTCTTCCTCTATGTCTCTCTCGATGTTTCCCTTTCTCTGTGACTCTCTCTCTCTGTCTCTCTTTCTGTGTGTCTCTCTCTGTCCCTCTTTCTCTGTCTCTCTCTCTCTTTCTGTGTGTCTCTCTCTGTCCTCTTTCTCTCTGTCTCTCTCTATGTTCCCCTTTCTCTGGCTCTCCTTCACTCTGTCTCTCTCTCTCTTTCTATCTCTCTCTCTCTGTCACTCTCTCTCTCTCTCTCCTTCTCTGTCCCTCTTCCTCTCTCTCTCTGTTCCCCTTTCACTGCCTCTCTCTTTCTCTGTCTTTTTGCTCTCCTTCTCTCTTTGTGGCTCTCTCTCTTTCTCTCTGTGTGTCTCTCTCTGTCCCTCTTTCTCTCTCTATGTTTCCCTTTCTCTGTCTCTCTCTGTCTGTCTCTCTGTCCCTCTTTCTCTGTCTTTCTCTCTGCCTCTCTGTCTGTCCCTCTTTCTCTCTTTCTCTCTCTATGTTCCCCTGTCTCTGTGTCTCTCTCTCTGCCTCTCCCTCTGTCCCTTTTTCTCTTTGTCTCTCACTATGTTCCTCTTTCTCTGTCTCTCTCTCTGCCTCTCTCTCTGTCTGTCTTTCTGTTTCTGTCTCTCTGTCCCTCTTTCTCTCTGTCTCTCTCTGTATCGCCCTTTCTTTCTCTCTTTCTCCCTCCCTCTCTCTCTTTCTGTGTCTCTCTTTCGGTGTGTGTGTGTGTCTCTCTCTCTCTGTCCCCCTTTCCTTCTCTTTCACTCTTGCTCCCTTTCTCTCTCTTTCTCTCTGTCACTCTTTCTGTGTGTCTCTCTCTGTCCCGCTTCCTCTCTCTCTCTCTCTCTCTTTCTCTCTGTGCATCACTCTCTCTTTCTGTGTGTGTGTCTCTCTCTGTCCCTCTTTTTTGTCTCTATCTCTCTGTGTCTCTCTTTCTGTCTCTCTCTCTCTCCCTCTTTCTGCCTGTCTCTCCCTCTCTCTGTCTCTCTTTCTCCTTCTGTCTGTGTCTTTCTCTTTCTCTGTGTGTGTCTCTCTCTGTCTCTTTCTCTGTCTGTCTCTCTGTCCCCCTTTCTTTCTCTCTCTCTCAGTTCTTCTTTCTCTCTGTCTCTCTCTATGTCCCCCTTCTCTCTCTCTCTCCCTCCCTCTCTTTCTGTCTGTCTCTCTCTTTCTCTCTGCAGCTCCACATTTCACCGTTAACAGTGTCACATCTCCGGTTTCCAGCAGAATGTTATTTGCGTTCAGGTTTTGCGTTTCGTTGGCGCCCAGGGCAGTGGAAAGCGTCACGTGTGAGTGTGAGTGTGAGTGTGAGTGTGAGTGTGAGTGTGCGCTCTCGTGGTCAGCGCTCTCTTTTTCTCGCTCTCTCGCTCCCTGCGGCGGACACGAGGAAAGAGCTTTTATTAGAATCCAATCACAGACAAAGGGAAAACTGATTACCGCTCATTAGTTTTGTGTTACTTTCATTTGAACGGGCGATACATCTCATATTCGTAATCGCTGTACGGGAGGCAGGGGCGGGGGGAGGCGGGGGGGAGACAGGGGCGGGCGGGGGGGCAGGGGCTGGCAGGGGGGGCCACAGCTGCGAGAGAGGGAGCCGCGAGCAAAACGACAAACAAATGACTCTGAAAATGGAAAAGCGGAGGTGAACAAATGCGTTTTGTGACAGTAAAGCGTACGCCCCCTGCAGGTCAGATTACAGCCGCAAATGAGGCTTAAACGCATCAGGGTTTAACCAGGTTTGGCGGAAATTTGTGCAGAAAAAATATTGAAGTGAAATTTGAGCAGATTAGGCAAATGACTGGAGACGTTTTCCCTGGTCTAATACTGCGGCTGTGGAAGTACTCGGTGACGTTACTCCAGTTGGTGCTTTTCAGATTTTAAAATGTGATCATGGTTCAATTTCTTATTTATTTATTTATTTGTTTTGTTTTTTTCATTGGGCTTTGTCAGGAAATATCCAAAAGTTAAATTCACAAATGTTGAAAGTGACATTTTTACTTTAGCAGCCCCCATCTGTACTCATTAATATTGTCCTGTAGAATGTTGTAGGGAGTATTATCTGTTCCATAATGGTGAGTTTTTGTACAGTTGTAGGGAGTATTATCTGTTACATAAAGGTGAGTTGTTGTACAGTTGTAGGGAGTATTATCTATTACATAAAGGTAAGTTGTTGTACAGTTGTAGGGAGTATTATCTGTTACAGAAGTTTGAGTAGTTGTACAGTTGTAGGGAGTATTATCTGTTACATAAAGTTAAGTTGTTGTACAGTTGTAGGGAGTATTATCTATTACATAAAGTTAAGTTGTTGTACAGTTGTAGGGAGTATTATCTGTTACAGAAGTTTGAGTAGTTGTACAGTTGTAGGGAGTATTATCTATTACATAAGGGTGAATAGTTGTACAGTTGTAGGGAGTATTATCTGTTACAGAAAGGTAAGTTGTTGTACAGTTGTAGGGAGTATTATCTGTTACATAAAGGTGAGTTGTTGTACAGTTGTAGGGAGTATTATCTGTTACAGAAAGGTAAGTTGTTGTACAGTTGTAGGGAGTATTATCTGTTACAGAAAGGTAAGTTGTTGTACAGTTGTAGGGAGTATTATCTGTTACAGAAAGGTAAGTTGTTGTACAGTTGTAGGGAGTATTATCTGTTACAGAAAGGTAAGTTGTTGTACAGTTGTAGGGAGTATTATCTAGTATATTTTTTTATGAGGAGAGTCATTGACCAAATAAAGTTCTTCCTGTTCCTGTGCAGCTCTGTGTTTCTCTCTCTGCACATCGACCCGTGATGTCCACACCTCATTCACCCTCCAACCTGACACAAGGACGGACGGAGAGAGAGGGAAGAGAAGGAAGAGGGAGAGAGGGGTGTAGAGAGAGAAAGAAGAGAGGAAAGAGAGAGACTTTGACATTTAACAATCCATTTATTTTATGTCACTTGTCACTTAAAATCATGAAAAAAAAACAAAACAAAAAACAAAGAAAAGAGAAGAGAAGAGAAGACGACAATAAAGGAGAGAGAGAGAGGAAGAACAAGAGAGAGAAGAGAGAGGGACAGGGTGAAGACAGGGAGACCAAGAAAAGGAGAGAGAAAGATGAGAGAAACCAAGGGGGGAGAGAGGGAGAGAAATGACAAGGAGAAAGAGAAAGAGAGAGAGGAACAGAGGAGAAAAGAAGAAATTTGGAGAGAGAGAGAGGTGGGAGAGATGGGGAGAGAGACGAGGGAGGAGAGGAAAGAGAGAGCGGTGAGAGGCAGGGATGCAGAAAGAGGGAAAGAGATGAGAGAGGGAAGTAGAGAGAGAAAGAAGTGAGGAATATGCGAGAAGGGGAGAGGTAAGGAAATAAAAGAGAAAGAGGGGGTGAGA